GAAATATATATGGATTTTTTTTACGTAAAATGCTGTGTGTTTTTTGTGTTTTGAATAATGAATTTTTTTTTTTTTTTAATATATTTTTTTTCTTTTTGTTTTTTATAATATTTATAAAATTTTTTTCTTCTTCCTTCCCAAGTGTAGATACAAAGTGAAATATGTTATAAACGAAAACTACGAAAAACGTCTGTAATATTATTAATATTTTATATGCCTTCAAATGCTGTAAATTTATATGCTCTAGCTTTTTTAACGTTTACGCTAATAAGTTGCCTTAAAAGAGCATTTTAGTCTATTTCTGACTTCTTCCGCCTATCTGCGTGTTTGATTTTATTACTAACCCCTGCTTGCTTTAGAAAGCTTTCTTAATCTTTAATAAAAAAATGTTTTTTTTTTTTTTTTTTTTAATTTCTTATCTAACGGATGAGACTATAGTATTGTTGTGGTAAATTTTGTATAACACTCAGAAATACCATCCAGAAGAACCACCCAACATTGATTGAGCATGACATTCTGAGTTAGCTATATCGTGTCCGTCCGTCCATCTAAAACTTATGTTTCAAATTTTCAAGGTTCAAACATATAAATTGAAAATTAGAAATTAACTTACTTGTGTGCCTATTTCATGTTGACAAGGCGGAGAGGCGACGACTAAAATTTCCAAAGCAAAAGGCCTTAAAAAGAAAGAAAAAAAACCAAAATTTTATTATATAATAGCTTGCAAACTTGTAACATTTATCAGTCGGGGCAGAAAAAGCTATACAGCCCTATAACTTGATAATGAAGATAAAGCTTAACGATTTTTATAAACAAAATGTTGGCTGGTAAGGTTTACCTTACTTTACTTTATTCAGTTACCATTGAGATAAGCATGAACGTTTTTTTGCCAATCGCGAATAGAGGACGTGGCAAATTGACAAAAATTTTTCGAAATTAAATCCAATTAAGCCTCACCGGCCTTACGAATAGATTAACTGAGAACAATACGTTTTGATCTTAGATCAATCAATTAGGATTAAGACTTGAATAAAATCGAAGCTTCTTTGCAACGCCTCACATATGCCAACGAGATATACAAAATTGTTTGCTTATCTCAAATATAATAAACATTTTCCGGGAACTTTTTATATTTGCTTGAGGTGATGGGTAACCAAGCGATTTACCACAAAACGAATCTTGTTATGGGTTCATTTCGATTCTTCCTTCAGTGTAGGAACAAAACAACAAATATCAACAACAAAACAACATTTTTCATTTTGTACATACATTTGTATCATATGGGCTACAGTATAAAACAAATTAAATTCAAAATTTTGGAAAAAAAATATTAAAAAAAAAAAAAATAAAATTTTCTTATTCACAGTACAACAGTACAACAGCTAAACGATAAACATTTGCATCACAAAACCTAACACTAAAAAGGAAAAATAATTTAATACAAAAAAAAAAAAAAATAAATAAATAAATAAAATAAAAATTATATAAGATATCTTCAAAATTTTGATTTTATTTAATCCAACTAAAGCTTCTCTTTTATTTGTTATTAATTTTCTTAAAGAGTTTCCATCCGTTCGTTCGTTAAGCAATGTCAAGGTTATTCGCTTGCAGAGTTACTAATACGCTTCACGCTGCTTTATTTATTCAAAAATCAATTTATTCAAAATAAATTTTTGCATTTTTCTTCTCAATATTAATTTTTATTTGTCTTTATTTCGTTTTATTTTGTCTACAGTCCAAACTAAATTGTGAAGTTTTATATGATGATTTAGCTTTCGAAGTGCGTTGGGCAGTAGCCGGTGAAAGCATTGTTGTGCAATTAGTTGCCAAATTAGGTAAGTAAACGATCCTAATAACTGCATATAAATCGGTCTCTCTCATTATGTAATATTGTAATGTGAACACTTAAAAACAAAATATATTTAAAGTTTGAAGGTCTTTTCTCGCTCTCTCCTTTCCCTCTCTCTCTCTCTCTCTCTCTCTCTCTCTCTTCGTTTGGCCCTGCATATTAATAACACTGCTCAAAATGTAAGAGCAATATTCGATCAGCAATAATCAAGCGGATATATCAGATATGAGAAATACATATATATATATATATATATATATATTTTCTAAATTCATAGCACCTCGACAGACGTCCGTGCCAAATTTCACATCGTTTCACAACGTTAGCGTTTCAGCTGCGCTTGCGCGCTGTGTGGTTTTGTCGAGCAAAGAAGTTACATGCAGGATGTTGCAGAGAGCCGTTAGGCAGCAGACTTTGTCAAAAAGAAATCTGTGCAAATGGTGCAAATAGTTCAAAGAAGGCCGAGGTCGAAGACGAAGAGCGTCCCGGACGATCATCAATCTCTACTGATGAAAGTCACGTCAAGCAAACCAAAAATTCGGCGATGTCCAAAAAGCGTCTTCTGATACTTAGGCATCTTGCTGAAGCTGTTGGCAGATCAGCCGACGGATGATATTTGAAACGCGTTAAATCGGGATTCGTGCCAAATACCCTCAAGTTCTATGAAAAAGAGGGTCGCTTTAAAATCACTACGAATCCGCCATGAAGCGTATTCTTAGGGCAGATCAGACTTCAAGCTACGCCTACGACTCGAAAACAGCAGATTAATCAAAAAACGAGGATTAATAAGAACTTGGGCATAAGAGTGTAATATCTTAAAGGATTACTTTTTAAATTCTGCCGTAATCGAACTATCCTCTAGAATAATTATTGCCATGTGTTCATTGTTGCTTCGGAATGGTTCGAGATGTGAACACTTTTGTTTAGATATGCGAGGGTCCACGCGTGTCGGATATTTGATTACAGTTTGCTTCAAGTAGAAGAAGTAAAATTGTTCACTTTGCTCACCATTTGCTCACCCCGTGATACTTCTGTAATTTAAATGAGATTCAAATTTTTAGCTGGAATCCTTAAAAGAGAAAAAGCGATGAGCAATTGTGCAGACGGATCATTTGACCTTGACGACGCTAGAGCTATGGTTGAAAAATCTTTCAATACTTTTCCAGCAAGGTAGCTGTAAAGATAGCTTGTAATATAACGAACGAGAAAGCTTACGTGACTTTGAGCTTTTTATAAAAATCATCGCCAGTACACGCACAGCCTAACTTCAATAAATCGATGGCTTGACAAGTGATTATACACATCCATATGTGTGCTCGTGATCTATTAAGAAATCAATACCACTTGGCAAAAAAAAAAAACAAGCAATTGTACAAAAGCAGTCTAGTTGCTGCCTGACAGCACAAAGAGAAATAAAATAAAAGAATTAAGAAAAAAATATGCTGAACGCGTGCTTGTTTGTACAACATATCTACACAATGTAATGCATTGCACTCATCCAGTGTATTAGTTGCGGTAACGCATCTCGAGACTACCCTATGTGCATTAAGATATAAACATGATTCAAGTATGCTAGCAATTAAAGTTCTGATGACAATTATAAAAGATGTTTATGACCTCATCTTGAGTTTCAGATGATTGTCTCAAGACAATTTGATTTGCTTTTCTTTTAACTGGCCATTATTAAAAGACTGAAAGACCAGTAGGCTTGCATATGATTTATATGCAACAAATATACATATCTATACATATATATATATATATGCGCGTGTCTCGATGTGTATGCATGTTTAAACTGACCGCCTTATGATATGCAGAAACGTGCCAATGGCAAGTAGAATATATGTCAACAATATTTTCTGTTTGTCTTTTATTTTTATTTACTTTTCGTTGTTTTCTGCTTTAAGAGCTCAAAGCGAAAGAGGCTCAAAAAGAGGTATTACGCGCATCTACATACATATATAACTGTTATTTGTTTCAATAAAAAATTCAGCAAAATTTTAAGCATCATCGTCGTTACTACTGATGCATTCAAAACATGTTGTATAAAAAGTTCAATAAACGGAGCAATTATCTGTTGTGGTACTTTGGAATGTGGTTTTCAAGATTTTCTTTTTTGTGCTTTATTAACAACAGGTAGAATGTGATGAACAAATTTGGTATTAGTGTAAATGTGTGTGTGTGTGTGCGTCTGTCCCAAAGGAATTTTTCTACTTATCTAACATTTCATTATATACTTTCATTGATTACAATTATGATATAAAATTGCTGGTCGTTTTTTCCTTCATTCTCTTTTTCTTTTTTTTTTCAAGATAACAACGAATACATGTCGTTTGGTATATCACCCGATAAGGATCGAAGCGTTATGATTGGTTCTGATGTCGTAGTAGCCTGGGTGGATCAAGAATCGGGTAAAGGTTACGCTCAAGACTATTATTTGGAAGATAAATCGCAATGTTCGGGTAAAAGAGGCAGTTGCCCGGACATCAATATCTTAGTAAGTTGACTTTGAATTGTAAAGAATCTTAAAAAATGCAAATAAATCGCAATAATTTAGGAAAATTCAAATTCTATACGCTTGCTAAATGCTGCCATGGTTAACGGTTATTCAATTGTCACTTATCAAAGATCATTAAATGCCACCGATAAATTGGATTTACCAATTTCGATAACTAGGCCTGAAGCTGTTGTTTGGGCTATAGGACCTTTGAACGAACGCAAGGAGACGTCCTTTCATACACATTACACGAAACGAACTCATTACGTTGATTTTGGAAGGCAACCGACTTGGAATTGTCCAATGCCGGAAGGTTCAAAATCTACAGATCACGAAGTTGATGAGAGCATAGAAAAGGATGACGATTCCCAAGATCAAGTTTACCAAGCGGGTACTAAGCCGCCGACAGAAGACCCCAAGCCAGAAGAAGAGTACTATGAGGGTCACGCCGAAGCTTTACAGGGCAATAAACGTCGTCAAGATTATGATAGTAATCAGAAATTGTCACAACAACGCCCAGTCCCAACACCAAAACCAGTAGCAAACGAAATTGGTGCCTGGGATATACCAGCAATACAGTGTTTCGAGCCGGAAGATGGTGTATTCTATGCTCAAATGGGTCCTACCGGCGGTAAACATGGTTATTCTGCTATTACAGGTGACACCGGGGCTTGAAATTTCATAAAACAGTTTTTTTAACATTGACTTTTTTTATTCAGGTCATGTTGGATGGGGTATATCGTGGTACATTAATGGTCTGTTAATACCGGAAATTCATGTAGTTCGTGGCAAAACGTATACGTTCGTTGTAGAAGGCGGTAATAATCCTGATATACCCGCCAAATATCATCCATTTTATATAACCGATGATCCAGTCGGTGGCTATGAGCATAAACGTGAAGAAGAGAAAAAGGTAAAATAGAAAAAATTATAAATAAATCCTTATAAAAATATGTTCGCCATTTAGGATATACGCATCTTTGCCGGTGTTCATCGTTCTCGCTCTGGCCAGATTACGCCCACCGGTGTAGGCCGCCTTTGTAATTGGACGCCGGATGTCGACGGTCCTCCAGCCGACGATTATCAATCGTTTGGCGCTTATCAGCGCACTCTGACACTAAAATGCGATCCGGGTGAACCGGGAGTCATTACTTGGAAGCCAGATCGTAATACCCCTGACACAGTTTACTATCATTGTTTTACACATCGCTATCTGGGTTGGAAGATACATGTGCACGATTCGTGTGATGATTCTCGATACACAGGCTCTGAAAACCACGCCGTTCGTGTACCAATTCCTGAGGATAATTCAGCCGAACCATCGATACGTCATGAAACCAAGGTCAGCCCCAACGATAATTTTTTATTGAAGCACCAAACAGATTTGATTAAGAATCATAATATGAATGGAACACCGCCAAAATTGTCTTTTGAAATAACCAAATCATCGGAAATTACTAAACTGATTTCAGATGGAATCCGCGCTGCCGAGGCCCTCGAGGAAAGCATACTAAGGCAAAATCAATTAGTGGTCAACCAACATTCAGGTGCCGACTTCCATCATGCGCTCAAGTCGCCCTCTTCCGTTAGTGGAACTAGTGCCTCCATGCCCTCCTCCTCCATCTCCTCTGCGTCATCGTCTATTTCAAATGCACAAGCGCCGCCACAACTTAACAGCATATCAACACCAGGTCCGGAATTATTACATGGCGAGACTAAATTGAACAAATTTACCAACACATTCAATTCTGCACAAAATACACCACATTCACCATCACATACATTAAACAAAGCACCACCACCATCACCACCGTTAGGGACGTATCTCAATTCAAATTTAAATTACCCACATAATATACAATCACATCATCACCATCATCACCACCATATTGCCAATAATCTAACCGCTAATCTTCCCCTACCAAATTCACAGAAAACTATAAGTTTGTCGGAATTTTTAAGGCCTCCGTTTAGCGCTCCACTCTTTCATCCAGTTAAGTTGCCAGGACGCCGTCCATTCCCCGGCCCGGTGAAAAAAGTACCAGCCTCTAAACCGATTCTGCCGCAACAATTGCCAAGACATCCAACGTCAGCTTCGATATTACCTGCCGGACCCATGCCTCAACCTTCAGTCATAGTTAATCATTATCGTAAGCCGGTTCCAAGCATATTAAGGCCATTCATAAAAGATAAGCCTTTCCCCATACAGCCTTTGGCGGCCTCAGTCTTACTTCTAGGGCAACCCACCGAATTATCAAATCAACGGAAAACTGATCCACATCTACACCTCAAACCGAAGCCTATAATACCAGTGCCTTATGCTGATTTAATTCCTCAGAGTAGTCTAACAAAATCCGTATTCAATGGAAACTCAGTCGAAAAACTGAAAAAACCAATTTATCCTGTTAAGTTATCCCACCCATTAATAAATGAAAAAATTAAGCCTCCAAACGTAGCAGCTTTAACCTCTACTACCACAGAAACACCAGGACCTATAATGCCCATTGGCGTATTTAAAAAACCATTCGATATTCATGAAGTAAAAAATGAACCCAGTTTAGCAGAAATAGCTACAATGAAACCAGCCGTTAACGAAGGCTTTAAACCGGACACTGTAGTTGTAGAAAGCGGCTTCAGACCAATCTTAAGAGACGACGGTCCTCTGCCTCCACCAGAAGTCATCGAACAGATAGCCAGTAGACGTGAAGATCCGGGCTCGGAAATCGATGAAGCCATGGAAACCGATACATTGTTCCTAACTGCACAAAAAGAATCTCAAACTCAGAATTTTGAGCCAATGTTTATACCTTCTCCTCCCGACAGCACCAATACTACAATAATTATACGAAAAGCCTCAGGTGCTGTTATAAACTCACCACAATCACAATCACAATCGCAACATCCACAATACCAAATGATTAGCTCTATACTAAAATCTACCAAGCCAGAGGCGACCACATTACGAAACGCCACGTTAGAGGACATACTCAATGAATCTGAAGAAAACGACGAAGTAAATGAGAATTCAAAATTCGATTCAACACGAGATGAAATCAAATCCATTTTACAGAAAACAGAAAGTAAAACCGATAGAGAAAATTCTATATTAATAGAAGATTACAATAGCAATGAGGATTTGCAGCCTTTAGCCTTGGAATCGAAGGATGAGATATATGAAAAAGTAAAAATCACTACAATTAAAACACCTAGCACGACTGCAGCCCAACAAACGTCGCCTGAAAAGCCTTTACTATTATTGGAAAAATTAAAAAATTATTATGGCGACGATTTTGATAATACTAAACCCGAAAATGATAAAACGGAAATAGATGAAGAACTTTATGAAGATCAACGTGACAGTGATGATCTTTACGAAATGGAAGTGAATGATGATGATGAAGACACAGAAACTCAAGCTTCCGAGCGAGCTGATGCTTATTATTTACCACCTGATAATCGTAAGCCACCGTCATCTAAAAATCCAAGTGGTACAGTAGTCACTTTTGATGGCAAATCATTAATTGATAGTTCTTTAGTTTTACCACCTAAATTGGAAGCTAACGATTTATCTCATCCACGATTGCATTCATACTCAAGTCTCTCCAAAGTGGAGCAATTAATTAGGAGTACACCACAATTTGGGCCATTTCGAGGTGAAATCCCACCACTAGAACCTGATTCCGTACCAGTAGTTTTCAGTTCATCTTCAACGGCATCGGCGACGTCATCATCGCATCGCCCTAAATCTACGAAGTTACAACCTTTACATAATGGCAGCACGTAGAGCTTTGAACATGTATTCATGCATATAGTTACATGGCGGCATAAGCTGTATTTTAGATTTTTTTTTTTTTTTTTTTTTGTTTTTTTAATTCGAATTATTTCAGGCACTTGAGTGCGCGTTACTTTGAATTTTTAACTGTTGACTATACTTGCTCTAATAATGGGATTTATTTTGCCATCTCGTAGAAGCTTTTCTGCTATAACTTTACATCTATTAGTTAACAAATCGTAATGCATTCTTAATGCATATATAATATAATTAGATGTTTGTATAAACAAAAATTTTATTACACATTACAAATGAAATTCTATATAAATTATAAAACTATAAAATCAATTTATTAATAAGTTTAACTTAAGCGAAAAGTATTTCAAATAAAATTCATCGATAGTTTTTACAATACATTAAAATTTATTTGTTTTCTATGGCGAAAGCATTGCGTGCCCTCATCGGCGAATATAAAAATACCTTTCAATTCTCTAGCTAAAGCAAAAGATTTGTTCATCTTCCGACAACATCGTGTTACATTAACGATCAGCAACTCACAATGCTTTCTCAGATCCCTTCTGTTTTACTCATCTTAATTAAAAAAAAGTTTAGCAAAAGCTAAAACATTTAGAAGAAACAATAGCAAATATCTATATATAACTAAAACATCACCAGCTGCTGAAAAATAATGGAATAAGGACCTGAAAGTGCACTCAACACTACTGATGACCGAGTGAAATCGTTGAGTAATTCACACTAACTTGTAAATTAACCTGCAGTAACTTATGCAACTAGCCCTAGTGCCGAGTGGCTCGATTTTTACAACAACCACAACTGCTTTGCAAAATATGCCAGAGACGGCTCTGTCGGTCCAAAACTATCCAACTTTGCTATTGCGTGCTGGCACAATCGGGAAAGTCAAAATCTCTGGCAATCTACCTTCCATCCTGATTGAATTGTTGGCCCTTAAAAAGGTATTAGATCTTGTTACAAATTGTTTGTCAATTTTCTCTCACGATAGAGCTGCCCTACTCCTCATTAAAAGTAGAGACACTACGAATCAAAGTGTCTACGATATCTACGATACACTAATCAAGAATAACTGTATTTTATACATTTAAAACTTTTAACAAGATCTAAGCAGCAATAAGACCAGAAAGCGAGGGGATGTGCAGACGCTATTATATCGCAACATTCAAAAGCGTTTGAAATTTTTAACTAGAATTAAGCAAATAGGCAGCGCCTATTTTCCATGTTCTATGCGCACCCATCGGTAGATGAAAGTGTGTATTGACTTCCTTATTCCGCCATAATAGAAAGTGAAACTTTAAGCTAAGGTTACCTAATGTGTACTCACATATTTTTCATATTTACTGCCATTGTAACGATTTCTGGTCAGCTTCTTCTGATTACTATCATAGTCCATGTTAACAGCAGCAGCGGCTGCCACAGCGGCAGCCGCATTATTAACTGCATTCGCGTGTTGATACATTTCAGCTGGAGAAACTCCCCAAAATGTACTATTAAAATAAAAGTTTACTTGATTTTGTAAACATAAGCGTTGCTGATTTAAGATGGCTGCGGTTGCAGCAGCACTGTAGGTTGCATTTGCCTTATTCCCACGATTATCAACCTTGCCGCCGTTGATTGGACTAAGTGTAGCTGTAAGCAAACTCATTCTATTGGTATAGGGATTCGATAAATGCATCATTGCCAGTTGCTGCTGAACAGACGACTCATCAGCCACCTAACCATTATAGGCGGAATCCTGCATAACAGCGTCAGATATATTCAACGATGAACTTAGACCATCTAGTGAATCAGAGAAAAACATTTTTTATATATTAATATCGCAATTTTTGTTATTATTTTAAATAGCACCTCATTTTCTTTGCGAAGGAATATCTGGCAACAAAATTGGTATATTGTAACGGCCCTTTCTAAGAATTGTATTCACAGAGGGCGTTAATGCCAACTGTGTGCGCAAGTTTTGGGAAACCAACTGCAAGAATATAGCATTTCCTAGAATTCAATACTTATTAAAAATTTCTGGGAACTACAAAATTATTCACAGAAAACAAATTACAATAACAACTTACCACAATTATTATTTTTATAAACTGCCAGTATTGCAAATTGTAAAAATTTGGAGATTTCATTCTGCTGTTGCTGCTGATGTTGTTGTTGACATTGGTGTTAATGAATTGAAGTCATTAAATTTATATTTCGGTTTCCAGGGGCACCCGTACCACCTAACATAATGGAGAGCAGTTCATGTTTGAATATCTAACAAGAATTATTATATTTCGCTGTTACGTTGTGTACAAGATATAGAAATCTGCCTTTCAGCTTCTTCCTCTTCATAGTTATGATGCGAAATGAAATAACGGAATCCTTAAACAAATTATTACGCAACTTTTACACAGAACACTTTTCTTTTTATTTGCACTATGTATGCATATTTATTTTTAATAATTTCCATAAAAGTTAAAAATGCTTCAAATTAGCATGTACTTCATCACATTTCAAATTCACTTACTTCATTATTGTTATTATGTCAAACTATTCGCGGCGCCATTTCAGATCTCAAAAAAAGTGTTTTTTTTGTTTGTTGCCTCTTCGTAGAATTATGTGCGACGTCTTCTAAATCCAATTTTTCTTTGTTTCGCTTTAAAATTCCAATAAATAACTGCACATAAGCTGATTAGTGTTAGTAAACGTCAATTCGTTTAATAGGAATGTTTCATTTGCATAGTTGCCAAATTTATAAAATCTCCGATTTAGGACATTAGACTGAATTTTGGAAATTTTCAAGTTAAATTTTCTGTTCAAGAAGAGAGAAATACCAAATTTTAAAATACCAAAAAGTAAACTAAAATGGAAAAGTTGAGGAGGAATGATGTACTTAGAACTTGTTTGTTACAAAACTTCCGTCTCTGATCAGATGATAACAAATGACACTTCATTCGGCATGAGTTCTTTAGACAAATAAAAAATTTTGTTTGAGTTCGGTAAATAAATTACATAAATATAAATTTTTACTTGATTATTCTACAAATTCTAACAGATATTATATATAAATTTCTTTGTTTACTGCAATTTTTCAATCATGGTGTGTATTTAATATAGAAAATTTATTATACAATTAATATAAAAGAACTGTTTTTTCTAAAGCAAGCTATTACAGAGAGTTTATTTTTTGGCTAATGGTATTATTAAATGAAAATTTAAAAACTTTTATCTTTAATTGTAGTATAAATTCTTGGGTTTATTTAGACAAACTGCCTCACTTGCCATAGCAAGACAAAGTCAGGTTGGTTAGAGAATAATTTATTGTTTATTACTTATTTAAAGAAATATATCTTGATTGCAGTCTTGTTATTCTCAAACTGGCCGGCGACCGGGTTTCTTTTCCCAGTTCATTGAGAATATGAGGAGTGAAATGGACAAAAACAAAGAGATGAAAGAAAATATAAAAAAGTTCCGTGAAGAAGCAGAAAAATTAGAACATTCAGAAGCTTTACAGTCGGCGAGACAAAAATTCAATATGGTTGAAAGTGAAGCTCAGAAATCATCTAATATTCTGAAAGAGCAGTTGGGTACAATAAAAGGGAAGGTTGCCGATGCGTTGGATGAGGCTAGCAAAACTGAGTTTGCAAAAAAGGTAAGCGAAGAGATTTCCAGAACAGCTAAAACTGCCAAAGATACTATATCGGAAAAGGGTGAAAAATTGGGTCAAACGACTGCGTTCCAAGCTCTTTCGGATACCACCAAAATGATTCAACAAGAAATTGACTCACAAAATATTAATAATCGAGTGTATCGACCGCCAGGAAAACTGCGTAAACGTAAAGAAGTTGAGTTAAGTGGCGATGAACGAACGGTGGCAGCGAATACCGCAGCTACCGGTGTGGAATTACACAAAGATTCAAAATTTTTTCAATCATGGGAGAATTTCAAAAATAACAATACCTATGTAAATAAAGTTTTGGACTGGAAAATGAAATACGAAGAATCCGAAAATCCTGTGATACGTGCCTCTCGTCTGCTTACTGATAAAGTATCTGATGTAATGGGTGGCTTATTTTCTAAAACCGAACTCTCTGAAACAATGACGGAATTGTGTAAAATCGATCCCAATTTCGACCAGAAGCAATTTTTACGCGATTGTGAAGTCGATATTATCCCTAATATTCTGGAGGCCACGGTACGCGGTGATTTAGAAATTTTAAAAGACTGGTGTTTTGAAAGCACTTATAATCTTATTGCGACTCCGATAAATCAAGCAATTAAAAGTGGCTTATATATGGATTCGAAAATATTGGATATTGAAAATATTGATTTAGTCATGGGCAAGGTCATGGAACAAGGCCCTGTGTTAATTATAACATTTCAAGCTCAACAGATTATGTGCCTCAAAGACCGTGCAACGAATAAAATAGTCGAAGGAGATCCCGAGAAAGTGATGCGCGTTAATCATGTCTGGGTATTGTGTCGAGATCCTAATGAATTAAACCCTAAGGCAGCATGGCGGTTATTGGAACTCACAGCCAACAGTCAAGAGCAATTTGTCTAATTTCGGTTACAGTTAATTTAATATAAGTTTTTCATACTTAAACCATAAGCGATATTATACTTATTTTCAATTTCCTTTGTCTATGACAAGAGAAACAATTTTATGACGCTTTGAATTCTTGCTAATTGTTATAAAGTATTTTCTCTGATATTTTTCAACACTTGGTCAAGAACAGTTTTGTGTAAAAACTTATATAATTTAGGTTATTAAATTTTCTTTTATTTTCACTTTTTTATCGCAGATATTTTGTTGTGAATAAATTTAAATATAAATTTAAAAACAATCTGCATGTACATATATATATATATACAATATATACATATATATATACAACGGTCCGTTAACACTTTTAAAGCTTAAGCTGTTGTCCATCTTTGTACATATACTTGTTAAAATCCATTGTAATTAGAATTGTTTTCATGGGGCCTCTCCGCATAATTCCCCTTTACTCATTAAAGAACGAAACTTCACAAAATTTTTAAAATGACAAGAAAAATAAATTATAATTGTTTTAATATATAACAAACAATGGAAAGGACGTTTACAAAAATAGCCCGGACGTTTGAATAAGTTAATCGTTGCGGCAATGTTAGCCGCATATAAATTCCCTCGTGCCATTTGTTGGCACCGATAAGAAATAAACTTTATTTTTTGATTATTTTAAATTCTGTGCAGTTTCTGTCATTGTGTTAGAATTGGAAAATTTAAGAAAATTCGTGAAAGCCAGGTAACTGCGCTACTATCGGTATACATTTTTGTCTTTAAAAAAATTGCACTCAAGCGTGGCACACTTCTTGCCTTTAAATTTATTACCGATGACCATTTAAACCATATTAATCATTTAAAATTTGTTTAGCTTTATTATCATTAACAGCCTTCCATTAAGTGGCGAGACTCCATATTACAATTTTTGAAACCCCAAAAAGTTGGGGGAGAAACCTAACACTTGATATTATGTATATCATTAACTGATTTCCATCGTTATTAGATATAGTCTGCAGTTGTTTTTATACTCTAATCGTTTACTCATCATTCCCTTTACGACTAAGGTGAGGTTACATCGATTCCCAAAAATCTTATGTTGTCGGAAAAGGGCAAAGTTAAAAAGCATCGATACGAAAGTCTATATGTGAAATCATTTTTATTATGCAACTTCAATTATAATCATTTCGTTCGCTTACTTTACGCAACTTCCTCTGAATTTGAAAGTTTCTCAAATATCGCTATAAACATACCAATAGTTAAATCCTTTTCGGGTCGACTATATAAGCACTTTTTGCCAAAGTCGTACTGTCGGTCGCCAAGATTGCACCATTTGTTGCGTAGTGCCTTTTTAGCACTCAGTAATTTGAAAGTGGGATTTAAATATAAGCATTTTTTTACCACATCCTCGTTCTCTTCTTTATGAATGGAACAAGTAGAGTAAACAATGCGCTTAACATGAGGAAAATTCATGGCATGGCTAAGCAACTTAATTTGCAAGCCACCTAATTTCTGTAGACGTTGTGCATCATCAACTTCGGAGTTCAGACACATACGATTCTGCATACCCGAACCGGAACAAGGTGGATCGAGAAGAATGTATTCAACGTCGGGGCATTCTTCAGGAGTAATCGTGAGAACATCGGCTTCTATCGGTTTTATATTTTTACATTTCACCTTTTTTGTCATGCTGCGGAGTAGACGGTAACGTTCGGCATCTTTCTCAATCGCATAAATGGTGCCTTGATTTTTGACAAGATTACTAAGATGTATAGTTTTCATGCCGGGAGCAGCACACATGTCCAATATAATTGAGCCGATAGGTGGATTCAAAATCTTCGCTGCGAGACAAGTAGCCTACAACGACAAATGCTGCTAAATCCGAATTAAGAAAATTATAGCACAATATTTACCTTATCTTGTAACATAAATTTCTTACTTTCAGTATACTCGTGAGTGGCCCAAAAATATTTTTGTTTGTTATGAAATATTAACAAATCGTCTACGTGCATATCGACCATATATTCATTTTCTTCTAAAGTTTCTACTGCTTTTAAGAATTCATCATAGTTCTCAAATGGCGGGCAGTCTTTTTTGTACCAATTCTCAGCTAGCATGGCATGAGCATCTGCAATGCTAACTATATTTGTGTTGATGCGTACATAACGTGGTTTAGTATCTATGGAGGAAAAAAATATTTCCGAATAAAAGCCTATATTCATTTCTTATTATCCAACAAAATCTCCTCTCATTTAAATTTTTCTTTTAATCAAAAGAATTCTCTCCTTTTCATTGAAAAAAATAGAGAGAGAAATTAGTACCGAAGGGCAATAGAATTAAAAGTTCAATCTAGTTATGGCTTTATGCTCTAAATAGGTACTTGGCCTTTTAAAGGAGAGATTACAGGCATATTTATAGACCTTGCGTTCCCTAAAATTCGTTTGATTTATTGCATTAGTTTTAGCCATTTCTAATAACCTTTCTTCTTGGCCAAATTTTCATCGCCCAAAGCCTTCATTATACGTTTACGGTACGCTCGGACTGTTTGCACAGGTTTACTGTCTCCCTTCAAATCCTTACGATGATATATTAGTTCAGTAACCAACGTTATACATAATTCACGAGATAATCGAGGATTTTCTTCCAGAATCTGACACTTCTCTATAGCAGCATCAATGGCTCTTTGGTTATCGGTATAGTGCGTAAGCAACGCCTGCATATCACGTAATTTCTTCAAAAAATAAACCATGTTGAAAATATATTTATCATTGCAAATTATTTTATACGTTAATTACCACGTGTTTTTTTTGTTCAAAAATTAAACTTTTCAAAGATTTTTTGCTTTCAAAAGCGGTTTTAAGAATGGCTGCTACCTTTTTATACTTAGAAGGCACTTTAATTGAATGCTTAAACCCTGACATTACGCTTTTTACGCTCAATTTTCGATGGATATTCTTATTTCCTTACTTTGAATTCGCCACCAAGTTGTTCAATCTTCATAAATATTATAAACAATAACAATCTTTTCAACAAAAACATGCGGCATGGTTAAGGTTGCCAAATTTACGCAGTACCGTTTATTAAGGCATTTAACATAAGTTAGTGAAAGGGGTGTTCAAAAATTCCGAAATCAGAAATTTCATTTTTGAAGATATTGTTTCCTTTCTTTTGCTTACGCAAATATATGATTGAGCATCGTATTGAAGACAAAAGCAGAACACTCCTTTTATTCCAAATGTGGGCTTTGGAATACCCATAGAATTTACTACGTCGAGCTCCAGAACAAGTTACGAAGTGATTATCAATCAGTTTCCGCTGTTTTATAGTTGCGCGGAAGCGAATTTCATAAGGCATTACATGGTTGCTATAAATTTTCATTCCTAATGACTGCATCAGCTGACATTCTTCAAAACTTCTTGTTTTGTTACCGATCACTTCGGAAGTAATTATCGTAAGGCGAGAAAGCATTATTGACGTGTAAGCATCTAAAGCCTGCTGACCGCTACTTTCTGAAGAAACCCCAAAATTTTCAGATTTTAGCGTCGACAAATCTTACTTGGGCCTATTGTCTTCATCAGTTTTGTCCCCGATCTTGTCTATATCTAAATTAAAATGGGAAGGCTCCAGTGTGCTCTTATTTAGATAAGATGAGCCGGCTTTTCATCATTTTCCGAAAATTTGAAATAAATCTAAAACAAAATGTTCTATTTTTTAAAAAAATTATCTGTTTTAGAAACGTGAATTTTATAACAAAGAACTTTTGTATATATCATTTCCATTTGCGCGACATAGGAAAGTTTTTTAAAGCAAATACTTTATTATTTCCTTTTTTTGCCTTCTTGGACAGGAAATTTTATTTGAAAATTTCCAAAATTCAGTCTAATGTCCTAAATCGGAGATTTTATAAATTTGGTAACTATGCAAATGAAACATTCCTATTAAACGACCTATTAATTGACGTTTACTAACACTAATCAACTTATATGCAGTTATTTATTGGAATTTTAAAGCGAAACAAAGAAAAATTGGGTTTAAAAGACGTCGCACATTATTTTACGGCTGGAGCGTACAATCAGATAAAATAAATAAGGTTAACATATTTAAAAGGTAAGTTAAATGCAAGAATAGAAAATATATGAAGAGACAATAAACAAGAAAAACACATTTTTTTGAGAGCTGAATTGATGCCGCGAAAAGTTTGCCATAATAACAATAATGAAGTAATTGAATTTGAAATGTGATGAAGTACATGCTAATTTGAAGCATTTTTAAAGATTATGGAAATTATTAACAATAAATATGTATACGTAGTACAAATAAGAAGAATAGTGTTCTATGCAAAAGTTGCGTAGTAATTTGTTTAAGGATTCCGTTATTTCATTTCGCATCGTAACTGTGAAGAAGAAGAAGAGGCTAAAAAGCGGATTTTTATACCTTTTACACAACGTAATAACGAAATTTCATAATTCTTGTTAGATATTCAAAAATGAACTGGTCTCCATCAAATTTTCCGCATATGCTAGGTGGAACGGGCGCCCCCGGAAATCGAAATAGAAATTTAATGACTTCAATTCGTCAATACCAATGTCAACAGCAACAGCAGCGGCAGCAGCAGCAGCTGCAACAACAGGATGAAATCTCTAAATCTTTACAATTATTTGCAAAACTTGCAGCTTATAAAAATAATAATTTTGGTAAGTCACTTGTATCAAATTTGTGCCTATTGTTGTCTTCCGTGAATAAGTTTTGTAATTCCCAGAAATTGTTATTAAGTATTGCATTCTAGGAAATGCTATATTCTTGGAGTTGGTTTCTCAAAACTTGTGCACACAGTTGGCATTAACGCCCTCTGTGAATATAATTCAATTACAATATACCAAATGCCTTTGCAAAGAAGATGAGGCGCTATTTAAAATAATAGCAAAAATTGCGATATTAATATATAAAAAAGGTTTTTCTCTTATTCATTAGACGGTCTAAGTCCATCATTGAATATATCTGATGCTGTTATGCAGGATTTCGCCTGTAATGGTTACGTGGCTGATGAGTCGTCTGTTCAGCAGCAACTGGGAATGATGCATTTATCGAATCCCTATGTCAATAGAATGAGTTTGCTTACAGCTACACTTAGCCCATTCAACGCCGGAAACGTTGATAAAAACGTTGGGAATAAGGCGAATGCAACCTACAGTGCTGCTGCAACCGCAGCCATCTTAAATCAGCAACGCTTATGTTTACAAAATCAAGTAAACTTAAATTTTAATAGTACATTTTGGGGAGTTTCACCAGCTGAAATGTATCAACACGCGAATGCAGTTAATAATGCGGCTGCCGCTGTGGCAGCCGCTGCTGCTGTTAACATGGACTATAATAGCAATCAGAAGAAGCTGACCAGAAATCGTTACAATGGCAGTAAATATGAAAGATATGTGAGTACACATTAGATAAACTTAACCTAAAGTTTCACTTTCGATTGTGGCGGAAAAAAGAAATCAAAAGACACTTTCATCTCCCGATGGATGCGTATAAAAAACAGAAAAAAGGGGCTGCCTATTTGTTTAATTCTAGTTAAAAATTTCAAACGCTTTTGAATGTTGCAAGATAATAGCATCTGCGCATCCACGGTTCGCGGCTATCGCGGTGTACTGGCTTCCCCGTTATACTTGCAACACAAAGAAACTGCTTAAAATATACTTATTTCTGATTAGTGATCAGTTTTAATTCGCTATAGAGATGGCTACCTATTCATCGTTTATTGGTATTCTCATGAATCGGCAAAAACAAAAGTTGATGGGATAGTTTCACATCCATCTTAAAAAATGGTTTCCATAATCTACGACCAGTAAGATACCATCGAAAAAATCCTTATTTATTATCAACAATATAAAATATATTTCGAAAATGAAGATCTTAGCTGATTTTCAGCGGAATGTGAATAGACTATACCGATATTTATTGGTATTTGCAGTACAATACGGCTGCAATGAATTGTTGATCTCATCAATAAGCAACAGAGGTCGTATATGTTACATAAGACATTCCAAAATGGTTTCTTTTGTTTTGTCCGATGCTATCGTAAACGATTTCTTATTGGACTCATCAAAGTTGCAAAGACGAAAACAGAAAATTTAGCTACGATCCGGAATGAATTCTAATGATAATTTATAAAAATATATGTGTGTACTCTCCATAAATACACCAGCAAATTGATAGTTTGGCGTCAAATTAGTAGATTTAAGTTGTAGTGCAAATATACCTAACGCTTAGGCGGAAACAACTTTTTTTGCCCGACTAATGCTGTTGGGTTTTTGCATCCTACTCTACCTGTTACGTATATTAAGGTGTACTCACCAACTTTTTTTGGATGTATTGAGAAAGACTTGGGTATCGAATTGTCTGATGTACGTCCTTGCATTTTTGTGTTCCGCCTACAGCTCCAAATTTTTAAGATTTTTTGGCACAATTTTATATACTGATGAGTTTTGGTACGAAGGACGAACCTTATGGAAAATGTACCGAATCGGGAAAAAATTTTCGCATATACATAAATTCTCGATAAAATAGCTGAATAGAAATAGTTCGGCATACTAAAATAACGATCGAATAGGGGAATTCCTTGAACCGCCGTTTCCGTTCCTACGAAAAAAAGTTCGTAAGGCAAAAGTATGTAACTTTCTACATTTCATTGCGAAAATTGGACTATCATCACAATAAATTAACATAAAAATTATTCCATGACCACAATGTGGGAGCTTAGACGAAGCAAATCTAATTTTTTGGGCAAGATTTCATACGAAAGTTTTCATGGAAAAGGAACCCTTTAATGACGAAAAGGTCGACTTAATATTGTATAATGAAAATTGATCGACGGTCATAATTTGACATAACAGTTATGTATAGCGAACTTCCCTCACGTGGGTCTAAATATTAAATTTATTAAATTTTAATCATATCATCTCTGGTTTCGTGTGCCCTCCCATATGATTGCATTATCGCGAAAATGAATAAGTATTTGTATAATACAAAGGGCTAATGAACGCTGTTCCATTTGGCACAGCAGATTTGTTGTCGACACGCGAAGTACTGACGTAAAAGTGTGTGAAATTTATTATAGGAGACTTGAAGCTTGATGTTTAAGTTCATAGATCAAATTGGTCGAAATTTATGTACACATTTCATATAGGTAGTCCAAATGAGAATAAAATTCGCACCTTTATTCCCTTTCTTCAATCCATTAACGAAAACTATATTCAGAAAAAGTTTACATAAACGGCACTCATACGCTGTTTCAGTTAGTTCAATGAACAGCAAGGATAAAACCGTAAGCGTGAAACCAAATACTAGCTAAAATATTGGATATATAGGTAGAGATCAAATCGATCCATATATACCGTTAGAACCGATCAAATTAGGTATGACTTATGAAGCACTGCGGCAACGTAACCGTGAAGAGTACGAGAAAAAACAACAAAATCCTCTTTCATACCCTTTCCCGTTTCCCTCAACGCATCCCTAGTCATATGTGAACCAAAGGACCCCGTTAAAAGGGTTCGCACTAATAAGTACGATGATCCTTTCGAATGAATTAAACTTATTGAAACATAAGGTTAAGGCACTTATCTAAATTAAATCGCAAAAAGTTTATATTTTTATTAAAAATAATTTTTGAGCAATGTATAGAAATAAGTAAAAGAAGCGGTTTAGCTACTAGAGTGATGTCTCGAAGAACGCGTAAACAAAATTTCAATATAGTTGACCCACTTTATGGAGATAAGATCCTAATAATTTTATCTGGAAACCGGTAGAAAAAAAATGAAGTAAAATTAATTAATTGTTAATCATTTTGAGAATAAGCAAAAAAATCTACGCCTTCTATATAATTGTAGATACCGATTTTTTCATTTTATGAATGGACGCCGTCATTACAAGCCATAAATTCAACGGGCTCCGTGTTTATAATAACAGTTAAATTTTATTCACGCACATCTCAGTCGAATAAAGAAATTGAAAAACAATGTTTCATGTATAATTATATAAAAATTAAAAAGCAATTTATAAATTTCTTTTGAATTGAAGAATGTTCGCAATCATAGACGGTTTTATGGCTTGAGTAAGATTGACGTGTGCCCTGTATTGACACTGTCGCAGCTTCTTATACTATGTGTTTACTAGTGTTACTAGTTACCAAGCCTTATTTATTATTAATTATTATCAACTAATACCTTCGTCTTTGACGTAAATATCGCATTATCTCTGTCGTAGCTGGTTGTCGAGGCTATCAAGTGCTGAGGAATTTGTAAATTAATTGCATATATCGCCATAACGGAACGCGAAAATTCATGCCCTAATTGAGGTACGAAAATTGTCGGTTTTATTGTGAAGCACTTTGGCTGCCATTTCGCTTCCAAAATTCTTTTTTTTCCCTTTCGAGACTAAGATATAATAATAATAATAATAATAAGACATATCCTGAGAATTGGAAAATGTATCTTCAATATCTTGAGCACAGTTTGGTCGACAAATTGTAGTCTTAGTAAAATCATCATTTTTGCAAATCTCCTTAGAAGATAATTTGAAGTGTAATATTGATTTCTAACACCTTAACAGAAGTGTGACCTTAATTTCTCCCGCTCTTTAACAGAATCGAAGCGTTGCAATTTATTGAAAGCAACTCTGTTCTCTCTCTCTACTCTCAACATATGGTACTTTTTTTTATAAACCTTGTAAAGGAAAAAAATCAGCTAACGACTCTTAAAGCCGTTTAAAAATATCAAAAGAAAATGTAAAAAAAAGTTTTACGAAAATTATATTAAAAATTAGTATAGTATTTAATAAATGAAATTGTTGAGGAGAACAAAGTTTTACGAAGCTGCAGCAGATAGCTGCCGACTAATAACGTTTTATAGACAATGACATTTAATGAAATTTAAGTAAACGTTACTATATCTATCTATAAGTTTGCTTATATAACATATTTGATTTGATTTATTAGGTATTTTTTATGCATATTTATGTATTTCATTTTAGATTTCGGCTAAACATTGTGTATTTTGTGAAAACAATAATGAGCCGGAAGCGGTTGTAAGATCTCATGCGGTTCGTGACTCGGCAGGTCGAGTTTTATGTCCAAAATTAAGAGCATACACATGTCCAATATGTGGCTCATCTGGTGATAATGCGCATACGATAAAATATTGTCCACAAAAACCTATTGTAACAATGGAAGATGCCGTGAACGCGCAAACGTTGCGTTTAAATAAACCTTTCAATAGCAAATAATAACAAACTTAAACTTAAATATCAAATAATTTGATATTTTTTTCAATATTATTAACTATCTTCTTTTTATTTCTTTTTTCGTATATTTAAAAACAAAAACTAAAAATTCGCGAGAAGCCATTATTTTATTGTGAATAACTTGGGATTATATGTATATATCTCTTAAATGATAAACAATGAGAAATTATGAATTAAAAAGCAAAATACATACATATATATATATATATATATATACAAATATATATTTTATTAAATACAACAACGTTCATTTCATGTAAAGAATTCCTTTTCTATTTTTGTTGATCAATCACAAATCGTCTTCATTTTAAATTATTCTAATTATTTTTAAGCATAAAATGACTTTAAAAGGATTTAATTTAATTGATGAAAAGTGTTATTCTCTCAATTGAAAACAAAAAATTTTCTCTTTCGAAAGATCACTTGTGCGGATTAAAAATGCTGTGAAATTAAAAATATTGATTTAATTTTCTACTTTAAGAAGAAATGTTTCTTTCAACTTTTTTTTTTTTTTAACAAAAAAAAAATGAATTTAATTTTTTATATTTCATTGTTGTTTAGAAAGTTTTTCTGTGTTCGCAAGAAAGACAAATATTTGTAATTAATTAATATTTTTTAACTATAGCCCTAATAGTTAAGAGTTTATTTCGATAACGCCTTAAGACATTGGGAATTGAATTACGAAAATCAAAAGCAATTTGAAAATGAAAAAATTCCGAAACAAAATTCCATCCGTCCTTGTCGAATTTCCTCGTAAAATTTCATATTTTATTTTATATTTTGGTCATTTTGTCAAATCGTTTCATTACAACTTAATATTATATTACCCATAGTCTGTATTTGACGAATACACGAATGAATCACTAAAGAGGTCCAGTTAACTAGTTAATGTAAGCAAGACTTAAATTGGACACTAAGTGTTCATTGTACCGCCGTGAAGTCAGGGCAATGTGTGATAAATACGGAGCAATTAGAAGCGTCCTACTGCTATTTCCTTGATGGCAGTGCTTGTTACATGAACGGAATTAGATTTTAACCTTGTATGCAGCTAAGCCTAAGCTAGCTTTTAGCTGAAGTTGAACCCTATATTAGTGCGACTGACACCCCAGGCAAGTTTAGCCGCTTCTTTAGGGCGTATCAATTTGGCGCTTTACATTGAACTACAAACTAAATATTAATTTACCTGATATGTCATGTTAAACAATATATACATGTGTAACGCAATAAGGAAGGGGATAAGGAAATTTCAATCATTCTACCCTGTAAGCTAACCTAACTCTCTACTTAAGAACCGCTCTAAGGCAAATTTATTAGTCCATTATTGAATACTTTAAACCACTTCGCTACATTTTGTTATTCATATAAAAAATTAAAAAATAAGTAGTTATATGACAATCCGAGCCATTTTCCGCAGCCTTTGTCCCTTAAACTAAACTATGTGGGTGCACCGAATTGAAGTTTAAATCTATGGCCAAATGTTAAAAAATCGTCTTGAATTAATTTCAGAAAAATAAGAAAATTTTGCAATATAAAGTAATATGTTCCGTTTGTAATGACGTAAACAATGCAATGAGTTTATCTGTAAAAGTGTTTGCGTTTATTTTCATTGACAAGAAAATTTTGCAATATAAAGTAATATGTTCCGTTTGTAATGACGTAAACAATGCAATGAGTTTATCTGTAAAAGTGTTTGCGTTTATTTTCATTGACAACATTGCTGCCTTCATGTATCCAACAACAAACAAAAGAAAAATCCCAATTTTCCCACGCTCAGGGGAATTTTCTCACGAGTTGTTTTTGTAACCGCGTGAGAAAATTCCCTTAGCTATGTAAATGCCCGATCTGGTAACACTTGTTAAATTTTTTCGTACGTCGTTGTCTCTGTCATTTAACACACTGGATTTTTTAGTTTTTTCAATTTGATTTTCGCCCAATTATTTGCATTTATTTCTTATAAATATATAAAAATTGCACATTTAAAGATTATTATTAAACGTTTCCGCTAAAATATATTGACGAATCAAAAAGCATAATAACATAAAAAAATGTGAAAAACTACTTCGCAAGTTGGTAATTAGAAAGAAAAAATTTTCTATGCTTCTTGTTCGTGTTTAACGTCTCTTAAGAGCACAAAAAAAATGTACAAAACGCCAAATATAATGTGATAAGTGCGTTGGTTTACGCGTACATAATGTGGAAATGAGTGTAAAATGATTTATAATCTCAAAAAATGTTTAAATAAAAATGCAATTCTTATGTGTAAAAATTATAAAGAATAAAAAATGAAGTGAAAATGAAGAGTGGCATTAAAAAGCTTTTCTTTATGTGATGTGTTCGAGAAGAAATTAAAAAGAACCCTTTTCAATCTCCCGTTTCTCTCGTTAGTTCAAGATTATCTTATGGGGAATACATGTATATGTATATATATGCATATGTATATAAATTTAATCAAAGGAGATGAATACAATATCTTATTAATATTTTCCATAAATTATAAAAAAGATTTATGCTGAAATGTTACGAATTTAAGGATCCGTTACATATTTCCTGATTTCATTCTCTATTTAGTTTCCCTCTGGTAATAAGACAGGAAATTCTCAACACAATTACAATATATATGTATATATATATATATATATAAATACAATCCGAACTAACAATACATATATACAAACATATAACCCAACAACTTTTATTTAAGGGGGAAGGAAGAAGGGGTGCCTGTGCATTCGATACCATTGTGTTTTTCACTTTATAGCATTTTCTTTCATACTTGCTTTGTGTTTAATGCATATCTTTCCCTCTCGCTCTCTCTCCCTCTCTTTATTTTACACCTACTTGACATTTACTATATATTTGGCATGCAGCGCACAGTGGCACATTTAATATGTAAAGCTATGTTAAATTCTCTCTAAATCTTCTGTTTCAACAAAAAAAAGAAGAGAAACAAATGGGAATCGCTTTAGTAACGAGCCTTCAGAATCCCCCATTCAATATTTCTACCAAATTTCATATTACCCCAAATTTTGGCCATGGATTTAAGAAGATGTCTTCTAAATTGAATCCGGGTCACAGCCAGATCAATGAGCGTGACACGTGCTTCTTAGAGATTGCAAGGAATGACATATCTACTAAGTTTTTATCCCATATCGGGTATAAAATTCATAACGTCCTCAAGTTTAGTTTAGCTTTAGAACATCAATTAGTGTTGATTTATGGCATTTTTAAAGGAGGTTTGTATCAGATCACATCAGACTAACTAAATAATATTGAAACCTAACAAATTGGCCTTAACGTCTTAAAGAAATGCGTGGCTTATACATATGTAAATATATTGTTAACAAATAAATAGACAAAACTCCACGAAATGAAGCGGAAAGGAAATAGTGTTTCTGAGCCGATACTCCGTGTAAATTGCATTGTCTAAACCCAAAATTTCAAAATTTGCAGAAAAATATCTTAAAAATCTTATTAATTCAAATTTTTGATTTCGTTTAATAATTCATTGCATGAAAAAAAATAATCAAAAATTCAAAAAGTTTCCTCTCTCAAGAAAAATTCTGAAATCGTGGAATTTGCTTCCTCATCGAAAATAAGGTATATTTTACAAAAGCATGAATGTCCTTCAAAACTCATCCTTTCCTTCTGTAATTATAGCAACCTCTGCGTCACTGTGCAGCGGTTGCATTGTGTGCGCAAAATGCAAAAAAAAGGAAAAAAGAATAAACGAGAGTGAAGAGGAAAGAATATCAAGTTAAGACTGAACGTTTTTTTCAGCTTAAGCTTCGTTCTACAACAACAACGTTATTAAAATCTAACCAGATGTATGTTGGTGTAGTCCGGCAAACTAAGCAACCGACAATACGACTAACGTTCATATCGACGAACAAACTAATACGTTCGCTAACCGCACGGCAGATCTTCTATCCTCTCTTTCTGTGAGTCTTTATTTCAACACTCATTCGTGGTTGCAAACATATATGCATATGTACGTATGTACTTAGGCACGTATTTATGTAAAGGAATATTTTTGTTGTTTGAGCTTAGTGTTTAGAAGAACTATAGGAGGGAATAATTAGTAAAAGCACTTCATTCGTCTCTTGTTCACTAAATAATATAATCAATATGCGGATGAATGCGTATGTGTGTGCATCAACGCATGCGAGACTCTTTGAATTAAACGTTGATCCAGTTTTATGTTTTGATATTTATGACGTCACTTGCAGAGGATGTCTATGTATTATAGTGGAATATTTAAGATAAAATAAATGTATTTGTGTAATTGTAGCCGTTTTAAAAATCTCCTTACAGATCATTTCCAAGTTAGTAGAATTTTTGAAAACTTTGGGGGAAGATGGATGAGAATAGCACAAAAGACATTGATGGGAAATTTCGATTCGTTCTTCACTAGAACTTTAAACGAAGTGTTCTTTTTCCCTTTGTTGTTGTGAGTAATTTGTTGGGAATCTTGGTCCCGTAGCGGATTTTGCCTTCGATTTTCACACTTGCAAGGACTCCAACGACGAATGAAGGGAGAGATGGTGTCGAGTCAGAATTACTACTCTATTAATATTATTTATGGATTCCAAAACTTTTGATCTCTTTCTTGCAAAGGAATCGCAATATTATGACGCTCTCCCCCCTTTTCCACAGCTCGCGCCACCCACCTAAGAAAGGAAGTTTTGTGGATGGATTTAATTTATAACGAATCTTCAAATATATTTTTCTGTCAAGTTTATTTGCGGTTAATAGAAAAGATATTTTAAGTTCTTCCTAAAGGTCACAAAGATGAAGCGAACATAAATGGTTGGGGTTGGTAAAATAAATTTCTTCATTTTCATCTACAATTCCCCAAAAAATTTCTATAACACCCACTGTGCATATATAGCTTGAACTTCAACATCCACACTTTAAAATAAAATAACAGCAAAAGAGAACAAATACGACAAATTGGATCACGGGGGGATAGCAAGAGAGAGGGAGAGAGAGACAGAAAGAGAGCGTTAAAGGCAAGTATTATTTAATGGCAACTCAAGTCCCCCTTTAGCAAATGAAGGCGAAAATTTTACAGATATTTTCCAGCATTATATGCCAAAGTGTGTGGAACATAGGTTAGTTTTTGGGTTGCGATGGTCATAAACAAAATGGCAGTTGAGTAGAAAGAAAAATGCATTGTGTTGTGTATGTGTATGTGTGTGTGAGAATGCATTCATATCAATGCGAATAAAATATCGCTACTAAATACCACAACCGCTGATGGAGCCAACACATGGAATATAACCTCATAATACTTATGAACATACGTACATATATATTCATAGCATATATTTTACACTGCATTGTTGGAGTAATAACATCAAAAGTAAGAACTTTGATTACTATTGCAGTAATTACAACAAAAGCAGCAACAGCTACATTCATTTTTATTCGTATTGGGTGTGAATAACCTGCACTACTCTGTGTAAAGCAGAAAGAAGAGGGAGCGCGTAATGAATTTGTAAACGATGTGGAGAAATAACTTTAAAAAATGAATATATGTGCTATTCTCTCTCAATATAAACACATCGATTAGGTGGAATAATAATTCCGAGAGGGCGAGTGAAAATTAAGAAATTGATGAGAGAAAATTTGTACTTTTTCAGATAATGCAATTTTAAAGGAAGAGTTGCAAGTTATCTAAAGAGCGTAATAAATTCATTGAAGAATGTATAAGTGAGAGACTTAAATAACTTATGACTCTCCTTTATTACATTCATATAAATGAAATGCTAGGCGAGGTTAACTCTTCATATATGTGTGCTCTGATATGGTTTGGTATGCTATATGGATAGTGAATAGTGGGGAAAAATAACGTTTCATATTATATATTAAACGGCAGTAAAGGAAGTTGCAATAATTTATATGAAAATACATTATTTGTTAATTCCATGTTTATTAAAAAGTTTTTAGCGAAAGAAAAAAGAATTTTATTTGGTTTAAAATGGAAAAAAGTGCGAACCATCGGAAGTGAAGTGAATTAATATTTTAATGTGGTTTTGCAGAATACTTGCAAGACATACATAGAAAATTGTCAAAGAGCAAAGGAAAATTGCAAAAAGCAAATCAAAAGAAAACTAATAATAATTCGCTTAAAATATTAAAACTTGAGAAAAAAGAAAAAGTTCAAAAATTTATGGAAATTATACGTAACGCAAAAAGTGGAAGAAAAACAGAGCTGCTTTTCTATTATCAATTATTGTTGAGCTATAAAGTTTTTATAAAAGGATTTTATCAGTTAAACGTGAACGCAAACGATTGTACATGTACGTTATTCTGATGCGGTGGCTTCAACTTGATGCTTCTCTATCTGTTGAGCCAAAGAGGAGCTTTTACGAATGCAGCTGTAACTTGTTGCCGATAATGACATGAAAATTGTACAAAACGAAACTGGGAAGAAAGGGAAACAACAGCAAGTGGGTGAGAAACGTAAAGCAAAAACACTTAAAAGCAAAATCCTTCAAAATGTTGGGCAAAATGACGTTGCCGCACCGCATTCGTCATCCTCGTCATTACATTCAACAGTAATGATAGATGAGCTTAAGTCAAATAACAGTAAAAAAAATGCAAGCAGCAATAGCAATTCTGACGAAAATGGTGGCTTGAATAGTAAGCAAATCGATTCGCTTAATATAACTAACTCTGACGGTAATCATAACAACAATAGTAGTGAATTGATTATTGCTGAAGCTGCAAAAATCCTATTGAAAAATGGCTTAAATGGCTCAAATGCAGCGGCAGCCGCTGCTGTAGCTACTGCCACAGCAACTTTATTGACAGCAGCTGCAAATTTTCAGTTGCCTAAACCACCATCTCCCTTACAGAGTAGATCTTCCGCGGTGCAGACCGCTAATGCGACAACGGCAGCTGCGGCTCATGCTCAACTGGTGGCTATAGCAGCTGCTGCTGCCGCCGTAAATGCCACTACCAAACACAATCGTCTAGGTACTTCCATTACGCCTGGACATCAATCAGGATCATCAACAACACCTTCGTCTTCAAATTTAACGTTAAATAATGGCTTACTGGATTCATCAATCGCTACTAATAGTATCCACACTTCAAGTTCTGCTTCTGCGAAACACCAATTTGCCAAACCGATCGAAACTCTGGTCACTACTAGCATGTACTCCCTGGATATGGGTGTCATTGACTACACCATTAATAGTAGTCCTGCTAATGCAACTGTTACCGCAGTAATATCATCTGTGGAGACTCCGGCATCTTCATCCATTGCTAACTTGTCATCTGTAAATCTGAACAGCATTAGCGCCCAACAGCACCATAAATACTCAATTCATTCGAGTCATAACAAGAACAACAATAATAATTCAGCTAATCAGCAAAGTCGTTGTGATATTGGTAGACTTCCGATATCAAATACACAGTCAACATCTGGCGCCGTTAATGCTGCCAGTAACAGTATAAGTTATCATCATAACAATGCACACAATGTAACCATACCTAGCAATCAAATTTACGGAGGTCGCTTACAATTTTTTAAAGGTTCACCAATATGAAGAACATAGTGGGTTTAATTTTAAGACTATCGCTTTTTTCAGATGGTAAATTTATATTGGAGCTGGCACGTTCGAAAGATGGTGACAAAAGTGGTTGGGTTTCAGTACCACGAGAAGATAATACCATTCCATCGCCCGCTAGGTCATCGACCATAATTCCTTCCGCATCGATCACAGGGGCTACACAATCGCTATTAGCGGCATCTCCAGCTGCATTGACCGGTGGCGTGGGCTTTCCAAAGAACGAATGTTCCAATTCGTTGAGCTGTAAGTCTTTAGTATTTCATATCAACTTTTTATACAAATCTATTTTTACACAAATAATTTCTTCCCTGTTTTTGCAGTTTCAGATGATAACAGCTCTATACAATCATCACCATGGCAACGGGATCATTGCTGGAAACAAGTGACGCCTCGAAAAAATGCATCAAAAGAAATGTCGCTGTTTTATCAGAGACCCGCATTTCAGCAATTAACGGCGCAGGCTTTATGTAGAGCTCGCAAAAAGCGGCGGAAACCGTATGATCCAATAGTCACAATGAAGGTTCCAATTTTTGCAGAGACTACGAAAGTAGACGAAGTTATTGAAAAAGACCTAAATGATAAGAATAGCATTGAGAAAGAAAGCAATGGTCATCGTGAAGACGATAATCGCCAGCTTGTTGATGATGATGTTCAAAATGACTTAACGAAGAGCAAACCTGATAATGGAATTGGCGCCAGTGAATCTGAAATTGATGTAAAAAAAGAGAAAATTTTGGATGTAGTTGAGACAAAAAATAATGACAATTCCCTAAGTCATGATCAAAACAATGACGTGGAAATGACCCAAGTTTCAAACTTAAGTGAGAATGGTAAAGTTACAGCCGAAGGAATGAATGCTAGTGACTGTGATGGGAGACAGAAAGACGAAAAGAAGTTGACGTTAAACGGAAACGATGAAGTCGTAAATAAAGAATCTAACAAAATGAAAGATGAAAATGAAGAAGGAAAACTGGCAGATTCGAAGAAGAACGATAGCAATAACATTGCAATGTTAACGTGTCAAAGACTTAAAAAGTTGAAGTACAAAAGTAGAGCGAAGCTCATGACAATCGTACAAAAACTTACAGACGCGTCTGCATCACGTTTAGCTTCAAATGTCCTTTTAATGTCTAAATCCTCTATAACGTTACCATCCATAATGTCAACAACGGGCTCGTCGTCTATATCGAATGTTCAACAAAGTCTTGGTCATAAAGTCTCACCGCCATCTTCATCGGCGACATCGCGTCTAGTCGAACACCATCAGCAGCACGTATCGCCACGTAAACGTATCTTGCGAGAATTTGAGAAGGTCTCCCTGGAGGACAACGTAGCAGTTGCGGGGGGCAAACGTAGTCGTGCCAAAAATAATAATTCTTTGAATAGCGGACCTGTTCATAGTTTTACACAAACGACCATCAATTCCACTAGTTCATTACATAATACCAAATCCGTAGTAACAACATCTGGGCATATAGAAAATACACATACTTCTAACAGTGTAACGTCCGCTACATTAACTGCAGTGAATTCAAATAAAATCACAATTGGTACTCCGACAGCACCTACTAAGCTCTATAGTTCGTATAGTATACATTCATTGCTCGGTGGCGGTAGCGATTCTTCATCTATCAAGAAAAATGATGCTCCAACGCCAAATACAATTAATACCATGGTTTATCATCAAACATCCGCGCATATTCAAAATACCTCTACGGCTTTACCGAAATCACCAGAAACTAATTGTGGTGGTAAGTCACCATCGAATATTTTGAGTAAGACGAAACGTTCGCCGCCATATGCCCCGTCTATGCACGATGCTCATTCAAGAAGTCCCTCGGTAAGTGGCGGATACACCGAATACGGAAGACGTTCACCATGGAATTCCCCCGATGTGGCGCATAACAATTTTCATAAAGTAAGATATACTGGCACCTCTTCTGAACACAGTTCCTCATCAACTCAGCATAATAACCCTCATCATCATTCGCAACAGCACCAGCAGCAACACTACTTGCATCATAATCCTTTGGTTGCTCATCAACAGACTTATTATTCGCCATACATGATGTCGCCGCATTATGTGCCCGCACCGCCAACAATTTCTCCTACAAATTCGGCTTCTACTGTTACCAACAGTCATAATAACTTAGTCGCGACATTGGCAACAACAATAAATGTAGGTGTAATAACGAATTCGCGTTCTCCTCATCACCACTCATCGGCCTTTAGAGCAGCCACACCAACATCGTCATCTGCAACGACAACGATAACAACAGCTAGTACAATGCACATTCCAGCGCAGAAGGAATTATCCCCAACACGTTCAATGACTACATCGCCCCGCGATACTGCGCCACGAACTGTACCAAAAAAGACTGCTTCGATACGAAGACAATTCGCTTCGCCTACCGCTGCTATTGGTGGCAGCAGCACAAATTGTTCGTCGCCAAATGCCGATAACCGCAATAACAGTCATGATGAAACTAACAGCAACAACGACAGGCGTACGCCTGTGACTGCAATACAACAGCAACACTTGATGCAACGTAACAGTCCAAGTGCTACTAGCAACGTAGCGGCATCGGTTTTACATTCATATCCTTACATATATCCCCCACCTACACCTACAGGAGGCAGTCCACATAATCCACCTACAACTAGCACGTTAATGCCCTCCACACCGCCTGGTACATCGCCATACATTCCAGCTGTTGTTGGTTCACCATACTATCATCCGTACATATCTACACTAGCTGCCATGCGTCACCCACAAATGTGGATGCAGCATTATCAAAACACAGCGGCAGTTCCGGCAGCACCTTCTTTACTTCCACCCCGTCATCCAGCTGTGCTCTCAACCTCCCGTTTATCGCCACCATATCATGGTTTTCAATATAATGGTGTAGGTAACGCGGCCGCATTGGCTGCAGCAGTTGCTGCGGCGGCTGGTTTTGGAAGCGGAGGAGGGCATCAATCCACAATACCACAATCCACCTTATCCCAGTGCTCGATGTTTGCGCATTTAGGTAATGCGAACATGGATGGCAACTCTCTGGCAGCCATAACTAATACGCATTCTTCACTGTCAGCCGGTCTACGAATCGCGAGCGTTATGCCAACTACACCAATGACTGATAATACCACCACTGACCTTTCTAAATCTTCAAAGGATAACTCACATTCACTGGCATCTATATCTTCTTCCGCCTCGATTTCGACTTCCTCCTCTACAACTATATATCCAATAAATAGCAGTAAGGATGAACAAAGTTCAGGTAATAATCAATATTTTTATCATATTTCTCTATGCTACTATATGCATGCAAAATTTGCCTTCAACAAGCAACCTTTAATCGCGACGGCCCTTTTTGAACAAAAAAAAACAAAAAAAGTAATTAGAAGAACTTATCATATATATATATATATATGTATTTAGGATCCATACTCGTTCAACAAGTAATGCGACAAACATGACGACATTGCTGGGTAATTCAAGAACTTTGTGAAAATTAAAACTTGTTTTATTTAGACAGACGACGTCTGCTGGCACCGCTGCAAACGGCAGAAAAAGTCTCTTATAGGTCACCTTCAGCCATATCGGTTAAAAAGAAAGCCGAAAACTATCTAGAAGCCAAACATTTGCTTAGCTTGCTCAAGGTTAGACATTAAATAAACACTAGACCACTTCGCTCAAGACAATTCTTTATTTATTTTCATGATAAAGTGCCGAAAATGGTGTTCAGCTTCATGAGTAGTCCTACATAAAGTGTCCTTATTATTATATGAATCCATTTCTTGAGATTTTGAAAATTGCTCTTTCCCTATAGGGAAAGACAAGATATAGGGAATTATTGTAAAAATGGCGCTATCCAATACAATTCTGAATTCTGTGTTCGTCATTGGGTTAAAACACATTAGTGTACACAATATTGTGAAAATTTCTCAAAAGTTCGCAGTATGCAGCTTGAGCGCAAAACGCATGGGACAGACAGACGAATAAACAAGCTTCATAATATACAATGTACCTTGCAGTTAGTGTAGGAGATATAATTATGAAAAACTATATTAATTTTTCTTAAAAAAAAACATAATAATCGAAGAATGTTTTCTTTAAAGAGTCGAAAATATTTGAAAAAAAATTATTCATTATTTTATGTTTCTGTTTTTTTTTTTTATTTCTATTTCAGATGTACCATTAAACTTATCAAAACACTAAATAAAGTCGGTTTCCAATTTATTAGCCTATTAGTAGTAAGTACGTAAATAGCATGCTAAGTTAAATTATTCTAATTTGCATTGTCAAAGTTCTTAATGCGAATAGCTATGAACAAGAAATTTTGTATTCGTCTTAGGACAAATCGTAGATGTCATGTCCATTACCTTGATGTGTAATGTGTCTTCAGAAGCAAAAACAATTCACTTTCTATCCGATGCTTATTTAGTTAACTTAGTTTTCATTAATTTACTATTTGATCCATAATTTGGAAAATTTCTTAGAGTTGCAAGCAAAATGTTAGTTTATTTAATTTTTCCATTCGTCGTCTCTAGTTTGGCCTTCGAAAGTCTAATGGCTGTAGCATTTAAGACAGTCTCGCGACAGTACGACTTATCCTCAACTTTTTTTTCCGAATTTTCGCTTCACTTGGAATTTTTATGATTAAAAATTTTTTCCAGCTTCGGCTTTGTGCTCGAAACAATTTGTTTGTTGATAGCAAATTTAACCGAAAAAAATTTTTTGTTTTTTCTAAGACTTGAAATAAGAAGCATATGGCGGCGGCGTTTCAGTACTTAAACTTATCGACAAAGTATGTTATGTGCACGTGCCATATTTTCACAAATTCCATGCGAAGAGAGATAATTGTTCCTCAAACGATTCAATTGTAGATTTCATGTAGATTAGCAGTTCATTTTATTCACAGCTGAGAAGTCTTGTGTCACGACCTTGAAGCAGGAATGATATCTAAACTTCAATATTATTCCCGCACATAATTATCAAAAAACATTCTCTATTCATCTCTCTCTCTATATAGAGATCGAGGTCTCGTGAGGTAAAATAAATTACACAAGGTGTATCCTTGATAATTTAAGTTTCTTCAGGGATGATATCGTAGCTTGGCTTGTGTGGAACGTTTTATGTTATCATAAAGAATTCATTTTTTATCTCCCCTATCTGGATAGGAATGATATATAAATTTTGGACTCAAAATTTCTCTATAATTTTTGCTTATTTACAAATCAACTGATCGTCCATTTCGAGCCCTGTTAGAGAGATAAATCTTCTTAACCAATGAGCCACCCTGTTGGCCCTCAATAAATTTTCATAAAAATCGCATATATTATTAGTTATTGCTGTTGCAATAACGAATATGATCGTCGCAAGGTATGGACGCCGCTATTTTATTGCAATGTTATAAGGAGAAATTATATCTTCCCGAATATTTTCTACGCAAGGTTGCCTTACTGAAAACTACAAAAAATTATGTGTTTCCTCTTCAACGATCAGAGCTAAAGCGGACAACAAATTTTTTGCAAATAATCACACAGTCGTAAAGAGAAATCCATTTTTAACTGTGCAAATGCATTACCGGAGAAGAGTGATTGTGGATGGCTTAGTAGCTAAAAGTTATCAAGTTTTGCTTTTAAAAGCAACAATACACCTTTTTCACTTTATGGATTCTCGTTGCAGTTGTTCCCAATCGTATTTACACAAAATCTTTTATTTCGACACCAGTAGCTAATCAAAATAGAACTTTAATTCCCTCTTGCACCCATCTTAGTACTTACCGCCGCTAATAATGAATATACGACGCATGGGTTATTCGTTTGCTTGGATTACTCAAAGCAAAGGTGTTATTAAAGGCGGTGGTACGTGTTAACAGTGGTAGAGAAGGAAGTTAATATTGTGGTAAAGGAAACTGTAGAATCTAAATCAGTGGTTTGATTAGCTCCATTAGGTGGTAAATATGATTGCGAACAACAACAACAACAACAACGAGGATCAATAAACTGAAAAAAAAAGCGGAACATGATGACAGTTTGATTGAATTCTCTTAAGCTCAGCGTTCCCATCATTGAAGGTTTTTTAAATTCCTGTTTTCAGCTTATAAGCCTATCGAGTGCACTCTACTCCGATGATTCATTAAGCAATGCCAAAAGCGGAATTCTCTTTGAGCGATTAATGATCGGTGTTAAGCGATTACTTAATCGAATAAAGTTCAAATGATTTAAAGATTTCTAGTTAATCTATGTATCCCTTCAACTTCTGATCCCGGAAATTGCGCAGAAAAAACGTTTAGAAATTCAAAAAAACAACAACGAACACCCTATGCACAAACAGAAAAAGTGCGTCCTTTTTTGGGTTTGCGTTCCGTATGAAGAATCCACTTAAGGTGATGGATATAACAAAATTTTTTACATAAATATATATATACTTAGTAATTTTTTCTTAAGGGGAATTTTTTTAGGTATTAGATTTACATTAAAAAAAAAAAAAAAAAAAAAAAAAAAAAAAAAAAAAAAAAAAAAAAACTAAATATAAACAAGAAACGCATGTATTTATATAAAATGTATATTACAACTTAATTCTTTTTTTTTTTTTTTTTTTTTTTTTTAAAATATTAAAAAATTAAAAAAAATTATTAATAATACTTTAAAATCACATTTTAAAGGCTTGAATAAAGAAAGGGATTTAATTTTAATGCTACATTAAGTGTATACGAAAAAGAAAGACTAATTTGCGTATATTTCTTAATGTAAAAAAAAAAAAACAGATTTTTTAAAAACCATTATGAATCTCCTAAAAGAAAATGTTATTAAAAAAAAACAAAGGGAAAAAAAAAAAAACATATATTTTTTATAAATTACAAGTTTAAAAAAACAGACTGAAAATATATATGCGGCGGATATTTAATTCTATGTTCGCTTCGTATATAAAGGTGTATATGCATATATATGTATACATTCATGAATTCGCTGCATAACATAATTTTTTTGTATTTATAACACAAACAATACACTTAGTATTGCACATAACCAAACAAAACCTAAACTACTAGACACTATTATAGAAAAAAGTGCCTTCTCGAGTAGAAATGATATCTGAATCATCAAAAGCAAAAAAATTCAAAAAAAAAAAAAAAATCAAAAAAAAGACAAAAGGGGAAGAATAAATGACAACAACAGAAATAATAAAATTTCCTTATGGTACAATAATTAATGCTGTTTATTAAAAATGTATTAAAAAGAGCGAAACAATAACGAAACGAAGAAGTTACAAAAGAAAACAAGAAGAAGAAGAAGAAAAAAGCGAAGAATATTTATCGTGAAATTTAAAAAGAAAAATAGTTGAAAATTAATTTAATTTAGACCATTTCCTTTTTCAATTCAAAGTTCGCTTTACAGCAGATGGATAGATAGATGCATAGGAGTAAAACCGTAACATGACTTGATGTCTACGATCATTTTCATTCATTATTTATTTCCATTTTAATAAGTTTCTCAGTCTACCCATTATTATTATTTTTTTTTTTTTTTTAAGAAAAATTTATGCCTATTACTTACTAACACAAAACAGAAAGGGCTTTGAGAGGCATGAAGTGCGACGAATATAATGTTATTTTCTTTTTTTAATGGCGGAATAAACGAACAATTTATTGCTAACTAAAAATTGTACAAAATTTGATTTTTATGAATTGTGCAATTTTTACTTATCCAATAATTACGAAAATATAAAGCGGTTATGTATTAAAAGTATAAACTCTACCAATACTATTCTTGTCAATCTGTCAAAAAAAAAAATTATGTCTTTGCAGTCATACATACCAATGTAAATAATGTAAAATTTGTATACTTCTTGACCGATTGACAAGAAAAAAGCTTTATCTTTTCTGACCAACTGCCAAGATTTCTCCTCCTTTTGACAAAAGAAACAGGATGAAAGAAAATTCTTGTTATACTATTTACAAGAGTAAAAAGAAATTCTTTTTCTACTTATAAAAAAGTTTAAAAAAAAAAAATGTAATTTAAACACAAATTTATCGCATGGAAAGATAATTTTTGTTTTTAACTATCAACAAAAAAAGAAAAAAAAAATCAATTGAATAAAAACAAAAGAAATAAGAGAAAATTCTATAGGAAGAAAAAGAAATTCTTTTTTCCCAAAAATTAAAAAAATACAACTTACAACAAAGAAAAGAAATTCTTCTTCTTACCAATCTACCGGGAAACATAAAATAAAAAGTTTTAATTGACTATTAGGAAATATTAGATTGGCAAGAACAAGAATTTCGTTTTTGATATGTGTACAAGTTTTTTTTTTTGCCTTATAAAGGACCGCTGGTAGGTTATGAATTTACATTTTTTTTATTTCTTTTTATTTTTTTTTTTATTTTTTTATTTTTTTTACTTTTTTAAATGTAGAGGAGAAATTGACCAGTGTTTAACACGTTCACGAATGTGAATACCAGATCATTCATTTTCATTGTAACGCAAAAAATACTATAGCATTTAAACCTTAAAGCCGAAATCTCTCTCTCTCTCTCTCTCTCTCTATCCCTCGTTCCCATCATATCTCTCTTATCACTTACTTATCACTTATTATACCTATAGGAGAAGCTCTCTGAGCATTTAAATCATCATAAATCAGTTTATTAAAAATAATTATATATATTAATAAAATACAGCATCTAATGTATAATACAATTATTATATATCTGTCAAAGTAATGATCCACTGATTCACTAGAAATTGTCAAATACTTTGTCTATTTTTGCAGCGTGAACATGTTCAAGAAACAAAAAGTGTACAATGTCGTGTTAAATTAAAAAAAAAAAAAAATATATATAACCGAAATGGCACACACATCACGTTTTCATTATTTCAATTTTTTTATTGATCGTGGACAAAATTGGTACGGATTATTTTCATCCCACATTTAAATCTAAACTCTTTGTAAACATTCAATGTAAAAATTCAGATCGTTATCATAAGGTGCGTTTAAGTTTTCTCCCTACTTTGCTTCGATTTTTTTGTGACAGGACATTTCTTAAAGTGCTTTCAGATTTTAGCGAATTGCCGGCGATCGTTTAAGTGAAACCTACCCATTGTCTTAAACAAAAGAACAAAAAAAAAAAAAAACAATAACATTTCCTGCTGGCATTAAGAAATGTCTCCTCCCTGTTCCACTTTTTTTATGCATGTTATGTCAAAATATTCTCCAAGCTGCCCCCATGGTTATAACAATACAGGTTTCAGTCATGATTCTCCAGAAATTACTCGACATTTATTATTTAATAAATAATAATATAAAATCAATGAAAATAGAAAATCAAATGTCTGCTGCTTTTACACTTAACTGTACTTTTCTGTTCATTAGCTATTAGATTATAGTGCATCTTAGGCGACATCATCTTCGTTTAAGCTGAAAAGTTTAGATTCGTTTCTTATTTAAAACAGTTTTTCAACCATTTTCAAGATCGAGATAAACACTGTTTTCAGTGAAATAAAAATAATATTTAGAATTTTTTTATTTTTTTTATTTTATTCATGAAAAAAACATGTATGAATTAAGGTACAAAACTGCAAGTGTTAAAAAAAAACAAATTTCATATATATTAAAATTCCAAATACAAAACGTTTACACGAAACTCCCAAAAAGGCACTTGCAATATAATTAACAATAATATCAAAAAAAAAAAAAAAAAAAAATGAATAAATAAATAAAAAAATTAATATATAAAATATGAAAGAAATCAGTAGTGTTTCATTTAAAAAAATAAACACAAAAAAATTCCTATAAAAAAAGACAAAATACATAAAAAGTAATGTGTACATTTAAGTTTTAAATAATTTTCCGAAAAAGCGTATATTTTGTATACAAGCATAAAAAAAATAAATAAAACAATATATAAAAGCGAAATTAATTAAATGTTTATATACATATTATATATACATATATAAAGAACATATATATATATATATATATATATATAAAGAACAATGTACAGTATTTAAAAAAAAAAAATGTAAACTCTTAAAAACAAATATTCCAAAATTAAAAATATTTATAAAATAAATACATTTGAAGACGGTCTTTTATGTAAATTATTGAAATTTTTATAATTTAGTTTATTATTTTTATTTTAATATCATTTCTCTCTTTTTTTGAACTTTCTTGCTTATCTTAAAAAAAAAATAAAATAATAATTTATTAACAAAGGAGAAAAAAATGAATATTCGGCTCGGCTGTCTCTGTCTCTGTCTTTCTGTCTTTTTATAAATTACCTTGAGATACCTTGAGAGAAGTGAATAATATAAACGTAACATGCTATGTACGAGTAAGCATTCCTATCATAAACTTCCCTTTAACTGGCATTTTTTATATTGTAATGCCGCTCATCACAGCCATATATGGCGAAATGCCTCAATTATTGCTTTCACTAAAACAAGCACATAGCATACTTAAAAAAAATTAAAATATATATAATTGATATAACAGACAACTGGGGCCTCAATGAAAAAATAATTACAACATAATACAATTATTATTATAATAATACCGCTAGCAAGACTTGGAATTCTAATAGACAAACCCGGGCGCAGACTCATCGGTGTTTTAAATAATAAAAAAAAAAAATTTTAATTCAAGTCTTTTAAACTTACATATATATATATATATGTAAAAAGTCCAGCTATCGATTTTAAACGAATTTCGAAATGAAATTTCCGAGGCGATATGCATGTTTAACCAATTAATAACTGCACCTATGACGAATATGATCCGTTCATTCGTCGTTGTCAGATTTCCTCATCAAATTTTATCATTATGAATGTAAACTTGTTACAAGAGTATATTTTAGAATCTGTGTATGGCATTACAACTTCATTTCATATTACACATACTCTCTGTATGACGAGTATACTCGTCATTTTGGCGATGCAATTTAAATCCACACTTAACTGTCAGTTTTTCCGACACGTCTATGGGCTTGGCCAATAGTAAAGTCAGAAAAGTTTAACTGTTCGTACCTCAATAAATCACTATCCGGGCCTATTCAAAGATTCATAAACTCGTATCAAGTATACAAGGAATATGGTTCCCTTTAGTAGCCAAGTCTGCCCATAGATGAGTTATTTGATATTTAAATTCGAGCAGGGTTCCTTTCGATAAACGCAGAAAATTTCGAGCACAACTTTGAAGGATAGGTATATCGGTCGATCACTGTTTATTAGGATAATGCAAGCGTCTCTTATTCGAATTTACTTGCCTTACCAAAAATTGGCAAAAATAATCTATATATATGTAATATATACATACATAATAAAGCAAAGCCCATTTTGGTGGCAAAATCCAGGCTTAGCGTAATATTTCTCAATTATTTCTATTAGCGATGGGCGTGAGTAGATACATTTACATGGATTCAAAGACCGAGTAAGTTAGAAACGAAAAATAGTTCGAATACTGCATTGACGGTCCATTTGTTCTTAAGGTACATTTAGAGGAATAAAATTGAAAATGGAGACGTTACACCTTAACAAGCTACACACTGGAAAATTGAGTAAAGTAGAGCAAGAAATAAAATAGAATTCAATTCAATAATTCATTGCTCATAAAAATTAAAAAAAATAATAAATAAATAAAAACAAAGTCAAATATATTCCTCTCAAAACTCTGCATGTACGTACACATATACCGCTGCCGGCTGTTATGGCTGGCATTGGTATTGAAGCATTGGTATATCTAGGTATTCACCATAAGGCGAATATGATTTTCTTATCATTTCTCTTTCAACCATTTGTCTCACTCCTTTTTCCTGTTTTCTTATATTTTCAACACATCATCTTCTTTATATTATTAGGAAAAAATAAACTTTTCCATTTGTCTATACTTTCATAAATTAATAATAGTTTAGCATTTAGTACGTAGCCTATGTGTAATTGGAGAACAGAAAAAAAAAAAAAGAAAAGCAACAAAAAAAAAAAAAAAACCGCGAAAAAAACTATTTTATAAAGTTTATATATATAATCTATACAATGAAATTTGTACTTTTGCAAATTTTTTCCATTTTATGTTATTGCTAAAAAGAAAAACATTCTAGTTTTTAATAAATTTATTTTTTATATTATCGTTTTTAATATAAAATAAAATTTACAAATTATTATTGTATTATGTAATAAATAAAAAAGAAAAAACAAAAATGAAACCTTATATGCTGAGACAAACTATAGATTTTTTTTTTTTTTTTTTTTTTTTTACTTTTTAAGTGTCAAAATATGTATGTATGTTTATTTAAGAAAGAGAAAAAATAAAAAAGAAAAAAATTACATATAAAAACTTTGCCTTTGAAAGGTAAGAGGGAGTAAGAGAGCTTTATTTGAAAAATATGTTCTATATGCTGCATTCACTTTCAAGGCGTCACGCAATGGAAACAATTTCAAGAAGAAGTTATTATTATCAATTTAATTAAAAATTTATGAGCAGTTAACAACACATAGCAGTCTGTCCGCGTAATCCACTAATTTGAAAACTTAATCTTACGACAAGATGGTAAGTCATTAAACTCTTACTATGAACGGAAATACTGCTGAGTTATGCAGTTACTCAACAATGTTCATAGAAACCTTATTTTTAATTGGGCGGGGACATAGTTGTTTCAATTAAAAAAAAAAAGAAAATAAATAAATAAATTTTGGCTCTCTTTTTATTTAAAATCCAATTAGTTGTAATAGATGATATATAAAATTTAAAAACAAAAATCAATTCCCCGGTAACGTTAATTATGTTTTAGTTTTTATACTCATGCTATTAACTTAGCTGCACGTTGACAACGGCCTTGTATAAAAAGCAACATTCGTAATTGTAAGCAGCCAATAAGGACTTAAGCATTGCGTAACTTTTTTTTTAAATTCTTTAATCCTTTTCGCAATTAAGGTAAGCAACGCAATTTGCGCTTGCCATCCTTAGATCTCTTGCTGACTTCCTTCACTGACAAGTCGAAATATTTTCATTTATAGCCCACATACGGGCAAATTTTTTTTATACCCCACACTGCTCGTGATATAAGTTGTACACTTGTAAGGATATATGCAACACCCAAAGCAACTTTTTGAGATGTCAATAGCTTTTATTATACCGATCGATAGGGAATCAAATCACTTTTTGAATTGATCTTGTCTGTTTGTCTTTAAGCCTTGACTGCTTGCATTCAATATGCAGACTATATTTTTGGAGAAATTTTCGTTGAAATTCGGTACAGTAACGTGTTTTGGCCCAAGGACCATTATAGTGTTCTTACTTGTTGTTGATTTGCTAATTTTTTGAATTGCATAGAAATACCCGTTGGCGAATCCGTAATCTGAAAACATATTCTGGTGCTTCGCTCTCTGTCGATATGATTCAAATATTAATGATATCATTAAAGAACCAACTTGTTGCTCACAATTATTTGCCATCATTTGCATCAATTTGCGTACAAACATCAGCCAAAAACGGAGTAAACGCTTCCAAATTCCAAAAAAATATTTTAAATGCTTTATCGACTAATTGTACAAAAATTTCATTTGAAATATAGACGAAGTGTTACGATTGACAAAAAGGACAGCTAAGAAAACCTTTTCAAACCGCATCGATTATCATCAGGCATTGACAAAATAGACCACCATTTAATTTTATATTATTACTATTATTTTTTTTTTTTATTTCAAATGATTTATGATAATAATGATTCATTTTTTTTCGCCTTTGCAGGTTAATTATTATTAAAACTAATGTAGAGAGTGCTGAACACTTTTGAAGTATTTTTTTAATGCGTTTCGTTATTCTTTCTTACATATTAGTTACAATGTATATATATATATATATATATATATATATATATATACATATATATGTATATATTTTATATTTATAATGTGATTTAATTTAATTCACAAAAATATCATAGTTTCTTTTCTTATTAATTTTTATAAATTTCAACTAGACAAATATTATATATGCTTGACTAAAAAAAAAAAAAATAAGAAAGAGGAAAATTCGAAAAATAACTAAAAATACCGAAGCGTGCGTGCGGTGTAGGTAATGTATACAATAGTAATATATATATATATATATATTCATATTTATATATATAGATGTACATACAAATATATTTAAATATCCTGTATGTGCCATAAGTGCATTTTATACTTTAGTTAATATATGATAACAGCTCTGTAAAAAAAAAAAAAAAAAAACTTTCACGAAACATGACCAAATTCAAAAAGAATAGTTGATATTTTTATTGTTTATTATTTTTCGAAAAATTATGTGAAGCCCAATTAAGTGATGTCTTCCAGGAATTGGCTAAAGCCTCGCTAAATTTTGAACGAAAATGTTCTCGAGCCTTCTCCGTAGTATATTCCAAAACCTTCAAAATAGAAAGAACGCAAACATTTTATATAAATTTATTTAAATAAGAAATTATTTATATAAAAAACATACCAAAGTCTCTTTTAAATAATTTAAATCTTTTTCTGATGATAGTTCTGGCAATCCGGTCGATATCATCATACTAAACAATGATAGTATAAGGCAGCCATGTTTGCGTAAAATTAAAAATGCCTTTATGTAAAGCAAATATAATTAAGTTGTTTTAAAAAATGTTTAAATATTCAAATTGACAAACCTACCTGCTCGCATTTATCTTGAAAATAACGAAATTCTTCGGCCATACGATCGCCCCGACCTTTGTTAATAACATAGACAAAATCATGAGTCAAAACGAATGGTACACGTTCACGACGCACGCCAAATTTCTCTTTAAAATGACCCAATATATGTCCAAAGTCAATATGAAATAGCTACGAAACGGATGTGAGATAAATTTTTTTCATGTTACAAATCAAGACAAATTGCATTAGTAATTTACCTGACCGTTCCGCTTAACCATAATGTTATCCGAATGTCGATCGGCTACGCCCAGTACATAGGTGGCAACACAGTAGCCTGCACAAGATAGTGTAAACTCATTAATCGCTTTATTCATTTCTTCTTCAGTTCTATTGTATTCCTTTAGCCAACTATAGAGAGAGCCTTTTTTGAATGGTGATGTCGCTGAAAACATTCCTTTTTCTTTTTGTATATTCGCAATTGTTTCGGCATTTAATACAACTTCAATCATGCCCAAACGCCTTTCCATACTAATGCAATTGTAGATATTCATGCGGAAATCCAATCTATAACAAAGAAGTAAGAAAGTTACATTCGGCGGTGGCCGAATCTTGCATGTCCATCATGCCCATCACTATGCTTGTCACATTCTATTCGCCAAGTTCTTTCATTTAATACCCATATCGCTGATATTATTAAGAAAAAATTAGCCCAATTTTAGGCAGATAATATATCTTGATTTGAGTAGTGTACAAAACAACATTAAACATTCTATTCTGTCTTTTTTGTCTTATGATTTTTATCTTATGAATAAGAATAAAACCTCAAAAGAGTGAACAAAATAAAATTTAATTACTTGCAGCTTTTCGTGGGCACGGCCGATTGTTTCCGATTATTTTGGACCTAGAGAATAGAATATCCCGTAAGGCTAATGTGGAAAGTTTCAGCCTAGTAGCTTTAATAATTTCCGAGTAACGAACAAAAATCCAAAAACTTTTGTTAAAAAAAACCGAGTTGCGTTCAGTTTACGCTCCACTGCGCACTTCTGCTCTGACCAATTTGGTCCATTTTTAGTAGCCACCTGCGTGCAGAAGCTTCCAATGTTTCTTCCAAATTTGAAATCATTTTTGCGACCAGGAGAGTACAAAGAACGCACACTATACATACACACAGACGGACAGACATGGTTGAATACGCTCAGAATTTCACGCTGATCAATAATATATATATTTTTAATAGGATCTCTGAAGCTTCCTTTTGGATGTTATATATGTTATGAAAAAAAAAAAACAAAATGAGTATACCCTCACAGTGATGGGTATAATAACAATAAACAAAAAAATTGTTTTAAAATAAAAATTTCGCTCTGCTATTTTCAATAATATTAATCATTTACAAATTGGAATAATGCTATTTATGATAGGGTCCTCCCAGAGATCACATATATCTGATATAATCTTAATATATATAGCTTAAAGAAAGTGTGAATGTTGTGGTAGACGTGGACTTACCCTTCATTTTTCCATAACTGATCCATAACTCTTAGCATTTGCAAAGTTAACATATCTTGCCTTAGATCATCACCATTTTTAAATATTATATAAATATCATTACAATTTTGGTCGGCATTTTCGAATACAATCCAAAGTGGCCGCATTTTTGAATCCATTACTTTGCATTTTTCTGGTTTAACACCTTTGCAACGAAAACTAGGATTCAATGGATTCTGTATGCTTTGGAAGACACCGCTGTTGCGTTGATTGTGTAAAAAATCCTGCAATAAATTGCGTACTTTATCTTTACTACCTTTTTTAGCTAACATTGAACCTTGTTTCAATTTTTCAAGGGCATGCAATTGTTTACGTAAAAGCGGGACGTGCGGCTTGCAACCTTTAAGATAAGCTTCAAGCAGTAAACCAAATCGTGTTTGCATAGACGGTGTTTGCATTTCAGAACGCAAATGCCAGAAGAAATAATGGCCGATACGTTGATTACGCAAAGCCCGTTCAAGTACAAAGGAGACAAGAGCGCAATCAAGATATGATTCGTGTTTCATGGCTTGCACAAGTTGCAACAAATACAATAACAGTTCCTCATCTCTATAATAAGAAAAGGAAAGTGATTAAGGATGAGATAAATTTTTTTTATTTTTATAATCGCCACGACGATATGTGCTCGATAAGTTTCCCACATATTCCAAATCAAATTCTTTGGTAAGTTAGTAGCTTCTCTGCAAACTAAAAGCTTTATTTACATACTCCTTGTATGCATGGGGTGTTTTTCTAATCCCAGGCAAAATTTTTTTTAACTTTGCAGGAAGCTTTAAAAATTGAAAATTAAATCAAAATCTCCTTAACTAAAGGCTGTAGAATATTAGTTAAAATTATTTGGCATCAAGGACATTGGCAATAAGCCGACCGAAAAAACATTTCATTCATTTTTTAACAATAACAAATTTGTTTTTTTGGATGATTTTCGGGATGATTTTATCACACGCTCAGACGGACATATGTAAATGCATATCGCGCTAATCACGCTGAACCAAAGTATAGGTACTTTATAGTGTTTCGTTTATCTATTTCTATGCAGGAAAATGTACACGATCAAATATCTATCTTATGGTGGCTTGTAAAGAATATCATTAATTTACTTTAATAAACGCAGACATCGTATAGCGAAATTGCGTACCGCAGGATCAGGATAAGCATAATCTAAAAGTTCTAATGATCTTTCGACAGAAATAGTGGGCCATTGTTTTAGCAGAGACCACATTTCGGCCACTTCATCACGCTCGTTCCAGTTAACACAGTGCAGGAGTATCGATAATTCTTCGGGTACTTCTTCTTTTATATCGTATCTGCGGTAAAGCTTAAGTAAATAACTAATGACTATTAATTAGCGAATGATAATTTTCATACCTTTTGGCCCATATATCGTTCCGGTCTTGATCATGCATTTCAAAGATTTTATTAATGCTGCGCAAATACTGTGACAACATTTGGCTCACACTTATTGAAGCATCTTCAGTGTTGCTGCGACTTAATGTTTCATTATTAGCCAAATGAGATGCATGCAGTAATACCAATTCCTCTGAAGGATATTGTATGTTATCATAACCATAACTGAAACGGGATAATTAATTAATTATTAAATTTTTCTGCGTAATTTAAAAAAAAACTTTATTCGTTTTTGTTATACTTATGGAATGTGAGTTGTATGACAGCACATTCATCTTTACGTGGATTCGGTTCAATTGTGCCAAGCGGATGGAAGATCTCATCTGATTGTATATCATCGGCATAGGTCCACGTATACAAGTTTAATAAGCCCTTTTTCAATTGATGCTTATAATCAAATAATGTAGTATTAACCCAAGCCAATGGATTTATACTAACATTACTATCTTTATAAATTGTACCGTCTCTACTACTACTGGTATTTGACGATTTTTTCGATCGTGTTGTTTTTGTCACCTCATAGATGACAATACATAAACGCGTCATACGGGGTAAATTTTGCATTTGTATATCGAATGCAATATCTTGCTCGAACGTAAATGAACGATTATTACTACTGGGTATATCGGTTGAATGATGAGCACATAATCTACGTTCGCCATGATATAAACCAATATGTATGCCGATTTTTATACCACGCACTAAATCACAATTAACATTATCGATACGTTGCAGACGTAAACGGAACGGTTGCTCGATATCCCAAGACATTTTTATTTTACGTTTGGCCAGAGTCGCAGTCGTTAACTCGTTGTTAGTTTGATTTTGTAAACGCAAACTATCTGGTTTTGGTGGGCGTTTGGGGGCAGCATTCAGTTCTTGTTTATAGCTTATATAAGACTGTAGAGTATGTATAGGTTTTAGCACAACATTAGGTACGTCAGAACCGGACAAACTTTCCTGCATTTACCCAAAATTCATTTAAAAAATTTAAAATTAGTCAATTTCTTTCTCTCAAAATTGCACAATTTACACACCTGTATATAGATGAATTGTATTAAGGGATAATCACCGAACAAATATTCGTCACGGCCGCGCACTTTTAATATATAATCGGAAGCACGATCGCTTACTTTTATCTGCGATTTACGTACTTTCGATAGAGCCGAATCGATTAAAGTTTTCGGTGTATGATTTTCATTGACTTGTATTGTAAATGATGTCTCGTCATTCTCCAGCTTGACTACTATTAGAAAATTCGAATTTTTTAAGCGTGCCTTAATAATTTCCGGCATTACGGGCGTATTCGCTAACCGCATGGGATTCTCGTATAATAATTTTTCGGACCAACTGAATTTTGAACGTTCCAATTCAATTTCATCGCATAAGAGAGTCATTCGTTTACGAAAGTCATCTTCTTCAGGACTACGTTGCGAGCTGTATTCTTCAAAAGATTTACCGATCATATTGCTAACCATTTTCGATAATTCATAATCGCTAGAAATAGCGGTGGCTTCACTGCGTTCGGTTAAGCGAATAAGGCAAAAATAAGGCTGCAGATCGCATAAGCGTTTCGATTCATCGGTAAATGGTTCTATGCTAGCAAAATTCGTTATACCACTGACTTCGTAATTGCAAGAATCCTTTATAAGAGTATATAAGGGATAATTTTTGGAATATTTTATGGCCTCCTGAAATTCAAAACAAGAAAACGAGTACAGAATTTTATTTGTTTTTTTAAATACTTGCGAAAATAATTACCAATTTAATATCTCTGATGGTGGATGTGGAAGGCATATGGAGTAACATCATTAGTCCATTGGGCAGAAAGACCATTATATGGACATCCGGTGGATCGTTTTTCCAGATGTCAAATGAAAATGATGAAATACTCAGCGGTGACATTCTTTTTCCTGTTGTAGATGTTGTTTATGCCGTCGTCGAAGCTAACCTGCAACAGCAAAAAAAGACATGAAAATAAATAGTAAGTATTAACTTGTTGTCTTTATATATTTTTGTATTTTTGGAGCTGAAAGTAAGATGTAGTATTAAATAAAAATTTATCTCAATTTTGTTACTGTTATTATACTTTTCTATTTCTGACTGTTAACCTAAAAAAAAAAAAACAAAAAAAAAGGAAAAATGCTGTATCACACCACTACTTATTAGCCTAATTTCCTTTTTGTGTTTTTACTCCTGTTGTAATGAAATAGTTTTTATTAAAAACACGCGCAAGCGCATATATTAAAATTTATTTAGGGTACTATAAATACTACATCCACTCACTTGCAAAGCCCACACACTCTTTTGGTACCCTTTGAAGCCTACAAATTAATATCAATGCTCGTATACTCATTGTTGTCACTTATGATGTGTTTCATACGATGATGCAGTTGTTGTTGTTCTCTTTTAAACTTTGCCTTTATTATTTTTAGTTTTCTATATGTAAAACGGACATAGATGATAGTTTCATTTCTAGTACGTCGCCAGTTAAGATGTTTGCACTTAACGTTGCCATGAATGGGAAAGCGGTAAATAGAACAAAAAAGTGCGCAAATAAAGCCCACAAAATTACTATTGGTTCCATTGCTAGCAGCACAAATCACATAAGTTTCATTCTTCACGTTTGGCTGTTTAGTCAATGAAGCAGAGGGAAACATCCAGGTAAGGAGTAAGAAAAACACATTGACCATATTTATTCAATACTTAGACACTGCAACAGCTCATCTATCCACATAAACACACTTAAGTGTACGTATATTTGCAAGGAATGCAGTTTAAAAAAATTAAACGATTGTTGTTAATAAACGTTGTCTCAGAATTTGTTTTTGCGGTAGCACTATATAAACGCACAAATAAACGCAACAAAAATTGCATTTAAAATTTTTTGCTTACTTTTAATAGTAAATCTCCTTATGCTGGTACGTTTATCGTTTCAATAACTATATTTTAATGTTTTCCTTTTCACAATAATTAGAGCGCAACCTCAATATTTTCCCAAGAAAAAAAAGTCTTCCTTTTTGTTTTATTTCAAAGCTTTTCTGCACACATATTTTGCATTTTAACAAAATCGACATATGCTTTGAATCATATAAGAATATATTCGTGTATAAATCATAGCTTTTTCTTACAATAAATTATATTTCTTATTAGTAGTTAAACTTGTAATTTAATTTAATAAAATTTTTTTTTAGTAAATCTGTCGCTTGCAGTTCTTTTCTGCTGTTTTTAACTGTGTGCGTATGTGTTGTGTCGTTATTGGTTTTATACATTGCACATAGTAGCCAATAACCCAAAATTTTTTCATTCGACAAAATAAAATCTTCATACGATTATTTAAAAGCGAAGGATTGAAAAAGAGTAACTAAAGAATTTTAAATGCATTAAAAAATTTTTTTAATAGATTATCATCAAAGCCGACTATTCCAATTAGTTTCTATACGAGTTATTTCAAAAAATTTCAAAAGGTCGAATGGTTGTAGTCAATTTTTATACGATTCTTTTTTGTTTCTCTTGATTCCTTTAAATAATAATTTTGAAACGATCTGGTAAGTTTTCAAATAATTTTTCCATTTGAGTACGTTAACAATCCCACTTTTAATATCCTATACGTATACGAAAGCTGATCGTCGTAAAATGTTTTAGTAAATGGTAAACATTGTTTGTAGTGCTCTGAGCGAGATGCAATAAAAATTTTATTTAAAAAAACTACTTAATAATGCACAAGTAAAATGTAGAAATCATAGAGTAAAGAATTACTAAAAAGAATTAAATTTGATTTGATTGAAAAGTGAAACAAGCTATTGAAATTTCGAAAATATGAGTGATTCTGATGAAGGTGATTTAAAATAATTAAATTTTAATCATTCTCCATGCATATATTCTTCACAAAATTGCAAAGAAATACTTTCTATTTCTATTTGGAAGGAAAAAGTTTATATTTCAATCGCAATAAATTTATAATTAACTATTTATTCTATTGTTTTCGCTTAAAAAAAGAATCTGAAATGATATTTTTGAGATGAAACATATATATATATATATATAACCGTAAGAATTAAAAAACGTCAATTTGCGTGTTGTATTGAGCAATTATTCATTTAAATTCAGCATTTCCTGTTTATAATTAAAAACTATGCAATAAAATAGTTGTATATTTATAGTATAACGCTCTTGTTCTAATGTGCAATGATTATTGGAAAAACGCATAGAAAGAAATGCGTGCGACTTGACTTCTCTTCATAAAGTAGTCTTGAAGTAAGAGAGAAATAGAAGTAAGAAGTAAGCAAATTCTCTCATGCAGAATTGTTAGAACAAATATGAAGACCAAATTGAAATGGCAAAAAAAGACGATCAATATATCCTATTATTATACCCTACATCACTTCTGCTTCAATGTATATTAGGTTTATGGGAAAGCACGCAAATCCAAGAAGGACTTCAAATAGATTCCTAATCGACCTGAACTTAGCTAATTCATGCTTTTGTCTTTCTGTCACTGGAGCACGTTTTGGCGCAAGGACGAACATTATTAACGATATTATTATTTAAAAAAAGCATTTATATGAAATTGGTTTGCACTTTTCAAAATTTCTCGACAAAAACCATTGAATAATTTTATTTTAGTATAGTAACATTTCATGGAAAGTATGGGTCGTAAAAGCCAATTCTTTTTGGAGACGTAAAGTAAAGTAAAGTAAAGTAAACTCTTATGCGTCAAAAAGGTAAGATTTTTAATAGTTTTTAAAGAAAATTGGTCCATAAAAGAAATCTGGCATAGAAATTAACAAATTTGGATCATATAGGGAGGTTTTGCGGAACCTACTCCAAAAAGTAACTTTCCATAGTAACAAAGTCTTAATTTGTAGTTTTATGCGATAAAGAATAATAAAATCAAGCAAACAGGGAAACAAAATGTCAAATTTGCACAAGTTATTGTCTTTCCTTGGTTATCTTTCTTGTGTAACACTTAAGGATAAGAATATATCAGTAACCTTTTAATGCTAATACTCCTACGTTGAATGGTACGTCGCAAGATATAAAATCCCATATAACAACGTTTGGGCTTCTTAGCCTATATTTTTTATTTATCTGATTTCTCCTATATTGATTAATATCTCATGCATTTCTTCTGCTCCTTCGTAGATCTTCGAATCTGATTTTGTTTTCAGTGATTTCCGAATCTATTTGCTTCAATTGAAGGAGTTACGTGTGTCGTTAGTATGTCGTTATGAACTGAAAATATTACGACAAGCGGCATAAGTGGTTGTATGTCAACAGTGCTTCTATTCTTCTGATATCGCATTGAGAGTAAACTTCGTTTTATCTCAGGAGGATAACTGAAGGCGAATAATAGTGAATGCATTAAAACGCTCTATAAACATTCTCACAAAAAATAAGGCTTTATACGATTAATTTGAAATATTTTATTATGAAAGTTGGTCCAGGATTGTGATTTAATCATATAAAAAGATTTGTATGACGGATTTATACGCAAGCTTTATTTTTTTGTATTTGGTCGGCGAAGAGTTTTATTAACTGAAGAGGTAAAGTTGTGCGATCGCGATGCATGAGTTAGGTTAGTAAGTCATTGGGTTCGACACTATGTCCCGAGAAAAGCGTGGACTCTTGGGAAGTAATCGCTTTAAGCAATAAATCCTTATTGGCTACGTTTTTAGGTAGAAGGGGCAATCGGAAGTTTTATATTGTAAACGCAAACAATTCTTTGTACTCACCTATACCTAATTTGGACTACTTAAGTGTACTTTGGACTACTTAAGTCACCGTATATAAGCATTCTCATGATAATGCTTGTAATGCTTGCATAACAAAAAAACCTGAATGTTCTTGTGATGAAAATTTGTTCATGATGGTAATTTGACATAAAAATTAAATGGATCAAGTTTGAACCACATGACACTACTCTAGATAAGATTTCTCATGAATAATAAGTCCTTCAGAAAAAGGTTTAATTTTTAATATTTTATGGTGAAAATCGGCACATAATAGCAATTAAACAAAACAACTGTCGGTATGGAATATGGATCAAATAGGTCAATTTTTTGACACCTTCAACATTTATAGGGGTTATCATGGAAAGCAAGCCGTTATATGGAGAGAGAGAGAGGGAGTTTGAATAAAGCTTGGTAAATTTGGATCACGTCATGTGATTTCTTGGGCGCTCTTCAATATTCTGGCTTTCATGAAAATCGTGCGTAATTTTTCCTGTATTATTACTAAATCGCGCGAGTAATTGTACGAGGTGAACTGGCACAGGTTACGTAACGTTCAGCCTTGCTACACTGTTATGTCCTTACTGGTTTTCCACTTAGTAATAATTGGCTTCTCGAAAGACTTCTAATCTAATTCATCAAGTTCAAGGTCATTTTTTAAACAATTCTTCAATAAACTCTTGAATAACTAATAGGAATTAAAGTTAAGCTGCCTATTGATAGTTTGACAGTTTATTAGTTCAACATATTTGCGAGTGCTAAGTGAAGTAAAGTAATCTATAAAACAATTCATTATTGTTCTAATTAAATTTAATTAACTCAGCTAAGTGATAGTAAATTAATATCTAACAACTAGTTGATTAGTAAATGAACTATGAATGAGCTCTTGATGGTTTAAAGTTTAAATGTCAAGCCATAAACAATTGAAATGAAAGAAAGAAAGTAAAAGCCGAGTTATAAGAGAATATCACATTTAATTTATTGCTGCTATATTTTTGTGTTAAGGTTAAGTTAACTTATGCGCAGGCAAGGTTTACATGTTTTTAATTTTTATCTTCATTTTTATGCAAATATCTTATAACCGCAAAGCATGCAAAGATATATGCAGTCTTTGCAGTCTTATGCTTACGCACATTGTCTTACGTATCTACGTATCATTCATTCATTCATGCAGTCATGCATAGATGCATGCAAGATGCATGTATCATCATTGATTCCCATCGTTTACCACTCGAAGTGTATATTATATCGGCTTAGGTTTACTATTTACAATGATATTTGTTGCCTTGAAGGATTTCTATAGTTACAGTTATTAGCGCAATACATATAGCGTTATAGGTATATCGGATCGATCGATACCACATGAGAAGCAACATGAGAAGCACGTGCAACAGTTGTTTGTTTACCAACAAAGTGCGTGTCTTGCGCAGTTATCGTGACATGAAATTTATAGGTGTTTTGCTGTTGTGATTGCTGCTTGCGTTTGCTTTCAATTCTATTATATCTTTTGCTTATGAATGAAATTGTTGGCGAAGTTAACGACAATTGATTTTTAACCAAATCAACGAAAGCTCATATGTTTTTTTTTTGTTTTTCGTTGAAGTAATGTTAAGCAGTTAGCTGCCTCATTTTCAATGTAAGGTTTCACGTCTCGAAACCATATTAAAATAAATGAATACGGGATCTTTTAAAAGTGATTTTGGAAAAATTGAATTAACAAATTTTTGAAAATATTTCAATAAAAGAAAAAAACAAAAAAAAAAAAAAAAAAAAAGGAACATAAATGGATTGGAGTTTTGTGGATAAGCCAAAAGCGGGCACCGAAACTGCTTTAGATGCTTGCGATTATTTTATTGATGAGGTCATTGAAGTCACTAAATGTTTAGGTGATTCATTAATTTTGAACTTAAACGATTAGTGAGGGTGGCGTTTACTTGCGCTTTTATAATTAAATTAATTTCGCTTTAAATTGATTTTCGCTTTAATTTGATTTTTCATTCAAGATGCTCGGGAACAGGTGCGTTTGATTAAGCATCGCGAACTTAGGCAAGCAGTTACTGCTGGTGATGAGCGGACAGTACGCGTTCTATTGGAAGCTTTAGGCTCCGAGAGACAGATAATAGTTAATATGGCACCGGCTGGGGCTAATACTTTATTGTTTTTGTATGTGACCAAATTTTTACAAATATATGTATGTAGATATTAATTCATGTTAATGTTTTTTAGAGCTTCGCAATCGGGTTTCGAAAGTATTACAAATCGTTTATTGGACGCTGGTGCTGATGGTCGCTCACATACGGTTACCAAGTACTCACCTCTCTATGCAGCTGTACATCATGGACACTATAATATCACTAAAATTATGTTAGAGCGATTTCCCGACTTAGTTCAGGTAAGAACGGTATAAAGAATTATTATTATTTTCTAGAGGTTGTTGTTGTGATTGTACTGCCTTTATTTGGAAAAGCAGTACAATTTGTTTTTGTGCCGAACATAAGTGCTTTCAATGTTCGCTTAATCATCATAAATGCCTGTTCATCCGCCACGCGTCTGAGACGATGACAAAGCCTTCAGTAGTTTACGTAGCACAACAGCCGTTTAAACTGTTGTCGTATTTAGTTTGTCGTATTAAAATAAATTATCACTTGGACAAAAATTCAATCCTTGGTTTATTGTGTCTCATGTTGTGTACTCATGTCTACCTTCTTATTGACATCAAACTCGACAACGGCAGCATACTCGACAAACTGCGGCGATTTAGTGAAACCATTTACGTCAGATTTTTTCTTTTTATTCCAAGTTTTGTGAACGTGTGCTTTCCGATAAAACAGGCGAGTGTAACAGTGTTAGATCAATTTAGAATCGGACGCTGATCAAGAACATAAATATATTTTATACCATTTGTGGCTTTTATTTCTATTGTGTCTTTGTATTTCGACGTCGAAACCTCTTTTAAAGCAATCAATACCCGCTTCGAGTAACATTTTCATTCAAAAAATATCTTTATTCTGCATATTTAATAACAATGGATTTTTTTTTTTTTCAAATTTTGCAGCAATCGACCGTTGAAAAATGGCTTCCAATACATGCTGCTTGCATCAATGGCCATATAAATTTACTTGAACTCCTAATGCAACATCAATATCCTGAACATATGTATAGCGTCTATCGCGATGAGGAAGGTGTGTGGGAATGGCGATTGCCTTTTGATCCGAATGGTCAAGATGTTACCGGACAAACTAGTCTTTATATAGCTTCCATATTGGGCAATAAGTCACTCGTTAGTGCCTTGCTAAAATGGAAAATAAAAGCTTATAAGACATGCTTACAAAGTCCTCAAAGTGCACCGATAACACCAACACGAAAACGTATTTCGTTCGGTATTCAGGCCATAATGTCTAAATTGAATATATCCGGAGATAGTGAACAAATGGGTGTAAAAGAAGAGTCTTTCGAGTGTGAAAAGTGCCCCATTAACTTGAACTTATTATGTGGTGCTGCTCGTGAAACAGCTTTATTGGCTGCCGTTCGGGGTAGCTTTCTGGATGTTGCTTCCGTTCTATTACAAAATGGTGCTAATCCAAATATCGTTGCTAAGCCTGTGGAGGATCAAAATGATCCGAAATGTACTGAGGAAATTTACGGTATTAGTAATGTACCAATCGCTGAGGCTTGCAAGCAAAAGTCTTTAGCAATGGTAGAATTATTGTTAAAGTAAGTATTTTAATTCTCATAAGTAAAACGAATAATTTTGTTTTATGTTTTACATATTATACCCCTAAGTCATAAATATTGCTTAAGTTGGGTGCTCGCCTGATTAATCATGACCCTGTGTACACCGGCCTTAAAAGATCGTTAAGACCTCTATCTATACTCGATTTTAGATTGATATCTCTTGGGCGTTATTTTTTTGTTTCTTGTTCACTGTGTTTATGCAGCTGGACTAGACTATTCCGTGCACAATATTTTTTTTTTTGGTCTTCGTACAATCGCAGAATGGCAACAAATTTCAAACCAACTTCAACTATATGTTCAACTACAATTTGTCGCCATTGACTAAGTGGGATTTTTGTGGCCAATTCCACCAATTCGAAAATTTTATCCTATGGCCAATAACTGTGTCGTCCAAGTTTTTCCGAAATGTTAAAAGAATAACATAAGACCTCTTATGGCGATAAAGAACGATTTTTTTTTTTTTTTGTCCTTTAAACGCATTTGCAAGTCCTCTAAATGGAATGAAAAATCTAGTATACCTCCAGTGCTGGGTGCGAAAATAATAATTTCATAATGGAATTATCGTTAACCTATCTAAATATAGAAAATATTGATTCACAATATGGCAAAAGTCATTTTTGATGCAAATGAATAAACATTAGACCAACTAAGACAACTAACACATTTCTAGAGTTAAAAAAAAAAAAAAATTCAAACTTTGCAACACATACCCGCTTCTTTTCGAAGGTGTTTTACGCGAATAAATATTTTTGCGCAATTTTCTTTTCTCTTTTTTTTTTTTTGTTTCTTGTACCTTTTTAGATATGGTGCTCGCGATGATAACGGTTCTGCTTTAAGCGTTGCGATAGTTTCTGAAGATGAAGCTATTTTAAATCGCTTATTAGCGAAACGTGTCCATCCTGATTCAGATTATAAAATCAACAAAAAAGGCTTGCCTACTCCAGTAGAAGTTAATGTGTTTTTACCCTCAGCAAACAATATCTCATATAGCACTATGTTTCCAAATACGGCCACGATTATCGATTGGCATAATAACACCAATGTGCAATTACCGTTTGTTAGGTAAATATTCATGTGTTTAGTAAATTTTTAATAGCAATACTTGTTGTAATGAATTGTACATTTTCAGAGTCAATTGGTTGGTTAACGGTGTTTTGCAATTGAATCCTAAACTTCAAGGGCATCCTAAAATGACTGCAGTCGCCTTAACTGCTATAACTCGTATTGATTTCTCTCATAATCAATTAACAAATTTACCAGTGGAAATTTTCGGCTTAATCTCTTTAAAGTTTGATATCTTTTTTATATATATATATATGTCGGGATTATTTTATTTTATTTTCTTTTTTTCTTATTAGATATTTAAATATAGCGCAAAATAAAATTACTCAATTGCCGCCAGCTCCTAGTTCGGATACACCGTGTTGTAAGCCCGCTTATAATTGTCCCGTTTTGGAGGAGCTCTACATACAGGATAATCAAGTGATCAATTTGCCTTCTGAAATTTTTCATTTGCCTGCGTTAACCATATTGGATATATCGAATAATAAGTTACAGGAATTGCCGTTTGATATGTGGAAAGCGCCCAAGCTCAGGGAATTGAATATAGCTTTCAATTTGCTAAAAGATTTACCAGTGCCACCAATGCAAACGTCTTCATCGCAACTTAGTTTAGATAAATTGGAATTAGAGCCATTTGCTAATTTAGAAACTTACGGCCATGATTACAAGAATAAACCAAGTACTCTTACCTTTCATCCCCTATTACATCGTAATATATGGTCGAATAATTTAGAAATTACCGATAATGATATGAAATGGAATGAGGCGAAAAAGGAAGAGGGCGTTTCTCAATTAAATAGTTTAAATATAGCGAACAATTTGTTTACCTCAATACCAGCGGCTCTGCCATGTTTAGCAGTTAATCTTACCAGACTTAATATGTCTTATAATAGCCTAAGATCGATGGGTCATGTTACGAGTTATCCGTCCACGCTCAAACAATTAGATCTTAGTCATAATGAGATTTCCTGTTGGCCTAGTTTACCGCGCATTGCTGAAGCTGATCCGCATTTGTTATGTTATAGTTTTGTGGCTCACAATCAGACAGAAGGCAGTGAAGAGATACCATCGTTCAGCAAGCATCATAGTAGCAATTCTAATAATTCGTCGTTTCGTAGCACCGTCTTGAAGAGTGTTTGTCGTCATCGTCGGCACTTGCGTTTGGAATCCTTAAGAACATTAATTCTAGCCGACAACTTATTAACGCGCATACAATTATCTACGGATGATGTTTTCAATGAAGCCGATGATTCAGATTGGAGCATTGTGGGCGTGACTAAATCGAAGCTTATTTTTCCCAATCTTTCTATGTTAGATATCAGTAACAATTGCTTAAGAGAGATACCAATCTCTCTACACGAGTTGAGTAGCTTGAGCGTTTTGAATATTAGTGGAAATGTTGGTATAACTGATTTGCCACCTCATCTCGGTCTATTAACACGACTTTGGAATCTTAACACACGAGGTTGTTTACTGCAAGATCCTCTCAAGTCGATGATAGAGAGTAAAAAATATAAAACTATGGATATCATCGGATATTTGAAATCGATCTATGAAGATGCTCAATCTTACGCAAGAATGAAATTAATGGTAGTTGGCGTGCAAGGTATTGGTAAAACAACATTACTGGATCTCTTAAGGCAGGGTGCCGGCTCGCAAAAGTCTCGAGCTGCAGAGAATCACTGGGCCAAACGTATGGGCCACACAAAAAACTTGTCAAAAACTCAAAAGGGCAGCAACATATCGACGGTGGGCGTGGATATTGGTACTTGGATTTGTGAAAAGCGTAAAAAGGCTCCTGGATCTCATGGCCCGGTAGTCTTTCGCACTTGGGATTTTGGTGGCCAAAAAGAGTGAGTTTCCATTGCTGTATATATATATATATATACATATACATATACACATACACATACACATATTTCCTTTGCAGGTATTACGCGACACATCAATATTTCCTATCTAAACGTAGCCTTTATTTGGTTCTGTGGAAAATCACGGATGGTCACAAAGGTTTAGCCGAAATATTGCAGTGGCTGGGAAATATTCAGGCTCGTGCTCCAAATTCTCCAGTAATTATTGTGGGCACCCATTTTGATGCAGTGGGAGAAATGTTCTCTGCCCAGAAAACCGAAGAGTTGCAGCAACTGATACGCGAGAAATTTATTGCGATACCGGATGCAGAAAAAATTGGCTTACCTCGGGTCATTGATTCTATTGAGATAAGCTGCAAAACTATGCATAATATACGTCTGTTAGCTAATATCATTTACGATACGGCTTTTATGCTGCGTTCACCAGGCTCCAAGGAACCGCTACTACTTCAAAAAATACCGGCTAGTTACATAGCATTGGAGGATATTGTTAACGTGATAGCGTGTAATTTACGAGCGGTCGGAATGGATCCAGTTTTAGATGCTGAAAATTATCGTAAATTGGTCACGGAAGAAATGCGCCTACACAACTATAAAAGTTTTCGCGATACCGCTGAATTGAATCAGGCTACAATGTTCCTGCACGATAACGGCGTCATATTACATTATGACGATGCCACGTTAAGGGACTATTATTTTTTGGATCCACAATGGTTATGTGATATGCTGGCCCATGTTGTTACGGTTCGCGAAATTAATCCCTTTGCACGTACTGGTATAATGAAATTGGAAGATTTGAATTTATTATTTCGCAACAGTAACGGGCAGGCCGGTAATTCGAATCGCAGCTACATCGTAAGTCTATTAAATAAATTCGAGGTGGCCTTAACTTGGGATTCGAGAACTTTGCTAATACCGTCTCTTTTGCCACTGAACGAAGAAAGTGTCGCTAATACCGGTACTGTTATAAAAGTGAGCGTTTACTTTATGGTTCGTTAAGTGAAACGTAACTTAATTGATTTTTATTTCAGATATCTCAACGCACAAGAGGTCGTAATGTAAATTTGGGTTGTTCCGTTCCCGATGACATTAGTTACAATAATATAGTTTATGAACCTATGACTTTGTCAAGTCATATGGATCTTAATATCTTAGACTCAAGCTTACGAAGAATTTTATTGATGACATATTTTCCATCTGGCTTTTGGTCGCGTTTAATTACGCGTTTATTGGCAGACGATCAAATAACTGAATCTATTAAAAACGTTTACGAAATGGTCAACGATGTACAACAAGACTTTAGTTTTGAATTACGTTCTAGTCTGGAGAGTGATACTAATTGGAATTTGTGGCAGACAGGACTTGCTCTGTATTACGGTCCTACACTTATTTTCAAAATATGGGAGCTACCTTTTCAAATGACTGCGAACACTCAACCATTCCGTAATTCGGCGAATCGTTTCAAATTGAGATTGGATGGTATTTGGACTGATATTAATTTATGTAACTCGAGTATACTGGAGATTTATTTCCCCCTGTTGAAAGTGAATGTATATCAGGAGGTAGAGGGAGAAAATAAACAGTTAGTAACTCAAATTGAGCCAAACATGCCGGTGGTAGCGAAATTACTTGCTTTATCCGTGGATCATATTGATTTGTTACTTGAAGATTGGTATCCTTCTCTGGGCACACGTTTTGTGCATACTTCAGAGGGCCGATTCTTAATTACTCGTTTGGTGATGTGTCCGAAATGTTTGCGTAAACTCGGTAAGAAATTTGATACAGATAACGGCAATGGTGATGGTGATGTTGCCGATGCTACTAGTTTGGGTTATGTGAATAGATCGCGAAGTAAGCGTCCTGTATATCTGCACGGTGATGCGTGTGAAGATGGTTTAAATGTTTTTTCTGCCTATTTAAATGCTACTGTAAGGAGAGAAAGGCGATCAGAGGTAAGTTATGTTAGCGTGGTTTTTGAAAAAATTGTTTTACCCCTAACTTATATATGACAGCATGTTTTTTGGAGAATATAGATTTACTTTGCACTTTTGAATTAAAAGAAAACTCGCTTGACATCTTTTCAGGATTCCTTATATTTATCTGATGCCGATTCTGGCGTGGGTCCCGATTCGGCTGGCTCATCCCGCAATACTTCCGTTGATGGTCATCCCCTCTACCACAATTTACCTGACATCTCAAATGTTTGTTACACATGGATGATTGAAGAATGTATTCTATCGGTTTATAATCAGTGTAAAATCTCTTGCCCCATACACTTGGAAATGTCAATGCTAAAATTGGCTCCCGATGTTATATTCGCCGATATACCTGACAAGTGCACTATCAACTCGGATAGCATCATTAAGGGTTCTTTATTAGGTCGTGGAGCCTTTGGATTTGTTTTTAAAGCCACATGTAAAATAAAGGGATCTCGTTCTTTTAAAGCAGTAGCTATGAAAATGTTACAACCTGTTGCACCCGGTACACGCGCAAAAGAGAGCGCTTTAATGGCTTATAAGATAGCGCTCGGAAAATGGGATCGTGATCCTCTGCAGCACGCCTGTAAGGCGTATTGCACAGCCCGCCAAGAGTTGGCGGTATTGCTTACACTTAAACATCCGAATATAGTTCCTTTGGTTGGAATATGTATTAAACCTTTAGCATTGGTTTTAGAATTGGCTCCTTTGGGCGGCTTAGATTCAATTCTAAGACAATATCGACGTAGCGGAGCTCACGTTGGTCCTCATACCTTTCAAATCTTAGTGCTACAAGCAGCCCGCGCGATTGAGTACTTGCATCGACGTCATATTATCTATCGGGATCTGAAATCGGAAAATGTATTAGTCTGGGATTTTCCTCAACCTCATGCGTAAGTTAAAACAAAGCAATGACACTAAAAACAATACAACCTTAATACTTAATTTATAGAGAGGACGGACCGCGTAATATTGTGCATATAAAAATAGCTGATTATGGTATAAGTCGTCAAACGGCGCCTAGCGGATCAAAGGGATTTGGTGGTACTGAGGGCTTTATGGCGCCCGAAATAATACGTTATAATGGCGAAGAAGAATACACAGAGAAAGTAAAAAAAAACCGCTTCATCTAATATGGGCCTCAAAAATTCCATTCAAATTTATTTTGCAGGTAGACTGTTTTTCCTTTGGAATGTTTATATATGAGAATATCAGTTTGCGACAGCCTTTTGAAGGACATGAATCGATTAAAGAATGTATATTAGAAGGCAGTCGGCCAGCTTTAACTCAAAGAGAAACACAATTTCCTACATATTGCTTGGATTTAATGATATTGTGTTGGGATGATTTACCGAAAAAACGGCCTACCGCCAGCCAAATTGTTTCCATTCTCACAGCACCCGAGTGTATACATCTACTGGATGTTATCGCATTGCCGCATAATGATAAAGCCGTTTGTGGCGCTTTTAATAGTCTACCGAATATCGAAGGTAGTATTGATTGATAATTCATTCTACAAAAAGTTGCAATTTTCGAGTTTATGTGTATTCTTGGTTTTTTTTTTTTTTTTATTTCAGATGAAACCGCACGCTTCTCCAGGTACTGCAAACGAATTAACTGTTTTTTTCCAATTGTGTTTATTAAAACGGAACGATATGCTCCCCTGACATAAATGTTGATCCTCTCTAAAACTTGAGCTGTAGCACTTAATGGAGAAAATCATGGCAAATATTTTTAAAACAACGATTCTCTAACTGTAATGTAAAGAAAACACGAGCCAAATAACTTAAAACCGCGGCAAGCATTTACTTTTCTTCACTTCCCTTAGGTAGACATAAACTGACGAAAGTGTCTTTATGGGAACCGTAATCAGTTTTACGCAAGCATAAAACTTCTTCAAGATTAATTTAACTTTACAGAATTCATCATTGACGCCTGGCTTCTTTATCCAACATTTCTGATCAAATAAGAGCCCAGTTTAATGAGTTTCCTTGAGAGAAACGGTTAGATGTCTGATCATCGCTCGACAATCCGTCCAGATGTAAGCTTAGTAGGTCTTTACGTTCACGTTCGCAACGACGACGAGTGCGACGACTTTCATGTCCGGTAGCACGTCGCATCTCCTCTTCAGATTCTATGCCAAATCGCAAAGAAGAGGAATAGAAAGAAGAAGAAAAATACGGAAGATTTCTAAAATTGTTTCTTATAAACAGATTTGCAGTTTCAGTCATTTCTTTAGCTCGATTTCTTATGTCTTGACGTCGTCGTTCGAGTAGAAAATTATGATGCTTAGCAAAGGATTGTTTTGCATACGTTTTGCCAAGTCAAGTAACAAAATTTTCACTTAACCTTTTCGTTTGGACTAACGAAACATTTAATTTCCTGACGGAAACGATCTTTGATCGCCGCTGTAGCAGTGTTTTGCTTACAATCCATTTCCTCCAATTTCAAGAATTTCATTTCCTTTGCTATATGCTCGACATTTTCTTGATGAGCACGATTCAATTCCTTAAATTTATACTTGACGTTCTTCTTGGTCCATTTTTTTAAAACATATGATTAATTACTGCTTCGGTTGCGTATTGTTTTGATCTCGAAGCCTGAAAATAACAGGCAGTGTATAATGAAATATTATTTAAAATATATTTCGTTTTTCATACAAAATTTTTAGCTTGGAGTTGTGGCTACCAGGTTATAATTCCCGCATCGATATACTTGATTGTTCGTTATATGGACAATTTCAACAGTTAAGCAGTCTCAAGTGCTCGCATAAATTTCCAGATTTGGAGCAGTTATCACCGCGTGTTGAAGAGCCATTGAGATCATCACCGTTGAATACACCATCGTCCACTCATCCCTCTACATCGAGTACTGGTTCGACATCACGTACTCCGTCGATTACAAGAATGCCTAAGATCAACGTGTTATGTTGTAGTATCATTGAACATGCAATTTGGATGGGCGATTCTGCGGGTAATTTGCACGCCTGTAATCTACAGGATTACAATCATATCTTTTCTTACATGTTGGATCCGTCAATCAAGTCTCCGGTAATAAGTTTAACTTATTTCCCTGGTATACAGCGGGTTGCCGTAGGCCTGCACAATGGTCGCGTCTTTTTATTGGATTCGGAGAAAGTACCGACAAATTGTGCTTTTGCCGAAGGCTCTTTTGTCTTAACTGAAATATGTTCAGGTTTAATATTGCATTGTGCCACATCCATAATGGTTGAAGAGTAAGATATTTTTGTTTTCAAATGCAAAAAAAAACACAATCTTTTACACACTTTTTTTTTTTTCATAGTGTATATGAATTGTGGTGCGGCGAAATGGCTGGAAAATTGAATGTTTTTCCGTTAAGTAAAACTGGCGTTAGTGGTCATCAAGCCTTATGTCATAGTGATGAGCCAAACACTAAAGAAGACCTCAAAGTGGCCCGCATATGTTCAAACAGCACCCATGTTTTTACCTGTCTTTACCTCAGCTCTATGGTGTACCAGTGGGATGCTAATCGAAAACAAATTGAAAATAAACTTGATTGTTCCAAGTTGTTACCATGCTCGGAATCTTTGAAAAGTATAGCCATTGATGAACGGCTCAGTTCAATTAAATGCCAAATATCCGCGTTATGTGCTCATGGCCAGGAACTTTATATAGGCACCACATGGGGTTGTTTGATTATAGCTGAAGTTAATACGCTAAGACCAATTACAGTATTTCGGCCCTACGAGAATGAGGTAATTGACATTATAAAATTTTAACTTAAAGAGAATTAAAAGAGAAACAAACACAAGGTAAAAATACAAATGTAGAGTGCAACTGCTTTTGCACATAATATAAAAGCAAAAATCTTTGGAAATTTGTATTCCATCTTGGCAATCCCTTTACTTATATTGCTAATGCTCGAATGATTTTAATAATAGAAAATTTCTCCGACTTGTACGAAAAAGGGTATCTGGAATACCGTATAATGTCACCTTGCGACTTTTTTAGTCATTTTTCCATCGCCATAAGTCGTAAACTTCGTAGGTGAGTCAGGTGAGCACATCTTAAATCATTTCTAGACGTTACATATATTCGTACAAGTTTAATATATATCCTGTACATTACAAGTGCTGTAGAATACAAATATTCACAAGAAGAAGCGCACTATTGAGCTAAGCTTTATCTTCATTTGAACTGGCGCGGTTGATGTTCTAATACATATCCTAAAAGTACCAACAGCATTCTTGCATGTTTTGCAATTTCTGTCAATGCATAAAAAAAAAAAATCGAACTAATTATCAGAGAGATGAGAACTTGTAACCAATTCCGTTATATATATTTTTTTCGTATTACTATATATTAATATCTTATTAAGTTAAATATTTAGCAATAAAATATCTTTTCGTTCTATCTATAAAGATTAAAACAATTATTGCGGTACCAAATACTCAAGTACCTTTAATTGCTACAATTGGAAGGCGTTATCGTTCCCTTATTAGTCGTTATATGGACTCATCGGAGAGATCAGCACGTCATATCACTTCTCCTTCACATTACGAATATTTAAAATCTCCTAAATCGCAACCGGCCGATGTTGACAATCACATACATTGTCTGTTGTGGAAAGCTAAAGATTGGACTTAATTGCTTTAATAAAAAGCTTGAGCAAAAATTCTTCAATTATTAGCATTTAAGATTCAATTTTTTTTTTTATGTTTAGTACTAACAAAACTTAAACGTACATATTTCAAGCGTTTTATGTAAATATAAATTTTATAAGTAGAACTTGCATTTTGCATAACACAGCGTTGAACAGTATCGAATATTAAGAATAATTTTTTTTCGCTTTTTTTTTGTTTTTTGCAATCACGGTGGACATTATATAATTATAAAGATTCATGGTGTTATTCGTCTTAATTGTGTATTGTTGTAAATATAATTTTTAATATTTTCAAAGCCAGCATTAAAGAGCAATTACAAGTAGGTATGGGAGACTGGATAAAGTATTGATATTTTTTGCCATTTGATTTTTTGATTAACGCAAGGCACTGAGACGATATTGTCCGTCTGTCTCTTCGATTAACTAAAGTCGATTCTTAACTGTTGGCCATACATCGAATTTGAATCGACTTGAAAAGAGTTTCGTCATAATCTAAAAACTGCAACATACAAATTACTTCAGGTAGTCGTCTGAACTGATACACATTACTTTTAGGGCTATGTAGAAACTATGCGGATGAACTAACTGACAATATTATTTATTGGTTTAGAATGGTGGGTATTAAATAGATTCGTTCTAAAGCGAATATAAGTTTTGCAATTTTAATTCTTACAATTGCAAGAATTAGAATTAAGCTTATGCTCATATATGTTATTTGTTAAGATACTTACCCGATTTCCTTCTTTTACGTATATATAAAATATAAATAAAATAATTTCAATTATAACTGATTAATTGCTGTATTATTTGTCATCGAGATATGCTAATAATTACTTATAACTTACTTTTTATGTTTAAAAAACCTTTTGTTTTTTTTTTTATTCAATCTTATCTTTTTTATCCTTTTTTTAATTAAGTTAAATAATTAAATATTTTGAGTATTATTAGCATCCAAGGTATCGATTGATATGGACGAATTACGACTACGTGAGTAAATAGACGCGGATGTTTTCAATTCACGCGTATATGTGGAGAAATCAATAACGAATTTAAATTCTTCAGTGAAAGCGTCTTTTAAGGAAACCTTGAGAAAAAACCAAAAAATTATAATAAATGAAAAATATAATTTTTTATAATTTTAACAGGACGCCAAAGACAAATCTCACCTTATGATTGCTAGCCTTGCGAATTACAAAGCATATCCAACTTATAATGCCGTGTAAGAGGGCTAAACCACTGCCTACTAAGAGGACCACATAAATGCCTTCTAAATTCTCCATACTCAAGGATTTTGCATCACTTTGTTCGGCCTTGCTCTGTAAGTATTAAATGTTTTATTTATTTTTCTTTTAATTATGTTTTTTTTATTAATAAAATTATACATTTTTTTGTAAGCTTACCGTACAAATACCGGCACCAACCTCATTCCACCATTTATTTTTCATTTTAGCTAAAACACCTTGTTCTTGCAATTCCAACAAAGCATTATTAAATTTATCCCTGTAAGGCCAATCTTTTAAGAGGATTTTTTTTAAAATTATTTCTTTAATCAATTCAGTCATGATTAAATTACTTTTTCTCATAGCGATGCCGTAACCTTTTTCATCCAAAGCATCGCCGATTTTTTTTAAACTACATTCTCTCATGGTATTATATTCAATGGAAGTGGATTCCATTAGAAAAGCATATGTATGATCTTTACTATTTTTAACTCGTTCAAATCCCTCTTGATTAGTTTCGGTTAAATATTGCGGATTTTTAGTCATAAATTCATTCATTTTTTTATAACGTTCATCTTCAGACGTCTAAGATCGATAAGAGGAAATATTAATGATTATATTCTGTCCTTAATACTCTAGAAGCATAAATGCAATAATGTTAATTGTAACTTTGTTTGTCAGATGATTGTGACGTGGCAAATAGTTGTGCAAAATTTTTGAATAGAAATTTGCTTTAATACTCCAATTATTGACAACAATATATTGCAAGATTGCAGTGTTTCAAATCTTGAATTTTGCAACTGGAAAAATTATAAAAATGAAGTGTGCAGGGACGGACGGAAGTAGTTATATCTCTCCGAGAACATATATAGATAGAGTTATGGTAATAATAATACAAAATTACAATAGTTCGGTAAGGATTATGATAAGAATAGAAAACATTTTTTTTTTTTTAAGCAATAAAAATACCATAAAAAAGTTTCTCGTAGATCCGGTACGTTTAGCTCCATATACCACTCCTCCCTTATTTTCAGCTAAATCGTTAACATTTTCAATTAAGGTAGTAGGAGTTTCGATGGTTAAGAAAGCAGCCAGATTCGCTGTATAGGATGAGACCATAATTAAAGTAAAAAACCACCATATAGAGGCAACAGTTCTAACTGACAGGGCTCTTCGAAAAGGAGAAATCCAAATCAAATATTTGCTCTCGTTTTTTATGTCAAAATTTTTTTACTTAGGCGCTATTTCTGAGCCTTGTTGCAATAGAGCTCCCGTAGTAAACCATAATGAATTACTAATCGTAAATTGATTTTCCAGTTCGATAGGTTCTTCGATGCACGGGCATGGATTATCCCATTCTTTAGGTGATAAACGGCCCAATATAAAGAAACTCAACGATACGCCCAAGAAAGCTAAACCTAAATACCACCACACTTCTTCGGAAAATGGATCCATAAATGAAAATGTTGCAGGCGGTGCTTGCTGCGGTTTAACATACAAAATTGCTATACCTAAGCGAAAGAAGGAGAAACGAAATGAACACAGCAAACAAGTTTTGAAAGCCACAAACAAATTTACCTAAGCTCATAAACGGTATACTAAAATCAACGGCTTCTTCCCTTTCGCTTGTTATCGTTAAATCAGTAACGGCCAAGTCTGCTCGCTACAAATTTTTAAAAATTTATCGTATTTGATGATATCATGTTTTCTTTCGCATTATAGGACTTACGCCTTCTCTAATTTCCTTTAACATGCCGGTGGAAGTGTTGGTGGTTTTATTATAAGAACCATAATCGTTGCCGCCATTAATCAAAGTGTAATTAAAGCCTAATTTATTAGCCAACTCTTTAATTAATTCTACACCATAACCTTCATATTGATTGTTGCCATCCAGTTTCTTATAGCTTTCAACTAAACTGGCATAGGGTTTGTTCTGCTTATAAGTTAATAAAAAATTACTAACTAGAAGAACTTGTGCGAAATATCGGCTCGGCTGCCCATCAAATCAAATGAACGGAAAACTTTTTTAACGGCCTACATCCCACACATATATTGATGTGTTCGACTTAAATCAGTCTGTCTGCAGTCTGCCACTTATTCAGGTCGAAATTTTAGAGCTGTTTTTGTAAACTTTAATGAACTAACCCGCACGCTATTGAAAATAGTTTGGACCGAGCCGCTTTAACGACCACACCTCTAACTTAAAAATCTCGTTATATAAAGAAAAATTTTGACTTTTAATATTTCTTTAAAAAATTAATAAAAAATCGTGCACGACATGTTTGGGTTATCACCCTTCCTTCTTTCCGTGATCGAACGCAGAATAAAAATTTGATATAAAAATTTCGCGTTTTAACTTTAGCTCAGGCAGCACTATTTTTGGAATCCTTTTTACATTTAAGGTTTATCATAGAAAATAAGATTTAATTTAGCAATTTTTAGTTTTTGAGGGCTCAAGTAGATGAAGAACAATAAGTTCTTCGACAACAAGATGACTGTTACTGAAAGTGCATCATGTCGACTCGCCCATAGCAGCGAGGTGTACTAACAGAAATAGGTAAAATAGCTCGATAGTGCCCGACTATAATGTTAAAGCTTTATCGTTAAACGTGGGAGTTTTAGTTGTCCCCCAGCAATCACTTTCGTGGATTTTCGGCTGTGAACAACAGTAGGATCATTTACATCGAGATTTAGTATAGCGTTTAACGCATTGTCATTACTTTTTATTGACTTTCCTGCTTTCCTCTTATCTCACGTAGGGTAGGGTGCATGCTATGTCCGCTCCAAAGCTCAAGATTGCAAAACTCGATATTACTTTTCGGGATTATGAGAATTTCAACAACCGATTACACGACAAATTGATGGACGTCGGATATTGCCGAGTCAACAGGGAATCTCTCGTTAATAACGAATACGGAATAGAATGTGTTTTGATGATGGGCAGAATGATAAAATTAATTCTTATAAAATTAGTTTTTTACCGGCACTGACAGCAATATTATAAAAGTCCTATTAACTAAGGTATTGTCGAAGTTTTCAAATATAGCGCTTGTAGGTTTTAAACGTTGACTTGTATAATTGCTTAACTCATTCCAAGTGCCTACTTTCACAATGCCGGAAGGTTGCAATTCAATGACGTCAAAGGTATAACCTTTCCGTACGTTGCCTTCGAAATAAATCTGACCAGTTAAAGTTCTTTTATGAATATTCAACTGAATCAAAAAAATAAATAAATAAATAAATAAAAATAAATTTTAAGCTGGCTTAATAATATATCCTAACCTACCGATCGTACATAATTCTTAAATGTTGAACCATCTTCCGTTACGCCATCACTGCGATCAGTGCAATTAAGGGGCTCCGCTTTTAAAGAGATATGCTTAGTAGTCTCAGCAATTAATTGCACGGCATCGTATGTCAAAGCCATTTCTACGGTAATGGGACAAGAACCTTTCAAAACACTTCATATTAATTTTTAGTATTTATCACATTTCCCATTTTTTACCGTTTTGAAATTCATCTAAAGCATACATGTAACCCAATTTTAACATTAGCTCTTTGACTCTTAGCTTTTCCGGTGAAAACATTCGTAAGCTTGTTATATTTGCTTCACTATATTTATATTCATCTAAATCGAACGAATGAAAGTCCAAATTTCCAATAATATATTTGTAATCTTCATTGATAATACCGACTTGCTGGGCTTGCCTTAAAAACTCAGGCATTGTCTCTGACGAACCCACTACTACTATATAATTATCAATTGATTTACGTATTCTTCTTAAGACGCTTTTAAAATTTCCATTTAAATTGATATCATAACGTAAAACTGTTATGATCGGTCCATTAGGACCATAAAGGGCCATTATCGTATTTAATATATTTAAGTATTCAGTCGATTCGTAAAGGAATATAAATCGTGACCATTGAAATGCTATTAACAGAGAATGCAAAGCTTTCGATATATCATCTTGATGAGGATGCAAATTGAAAGCTTCAGCTGATTGCAACATATGGCCGTAGAAATATGGTACATCTTTCGCATCGCAGATTGACATTAAATGTAAAGCAGTATGCTTGGAAGATGGCCCCAATACGGCACCAATACCCATCTAAAAATTTTGGAAATCATGTAAAAAAATTAACATTTAAAACAGTTAACTATTAAAACCTACCTGCATCATTTTACACAATTTCCCGTAACCTTGAAATGAATTTCCGAAAGGAACTTCTTCTTGCTTTAATACCAAAGGTGTTTGCAAATCAATATTGGCAACTTCCATGGCGTATTCCGCTACAAGAGTCATTTTGTCATGGTTACGATCCGTTAAGAGACCTACAGGTAGATGGAAAAAAATTGTATTGACGTTTGGAAAATCACTTCGTTTTTTTCTAACATTGGATTTAATTGTATTTTTTTCACAGCTTGTGGTGTGCTACACCGCCTTCGGTACAGGAGATATTAAGTTAGCGCGGACTTATGTAACACGCAGAAGGGCTTAAGATGGATGGACCTTTTATTACACCGATCGGTTCAGAATTAAAAACAGTTAGCTTCTTAAGCGGAGGCCGTTTGTATTCATTTACTTCTTTCTTCCAAATTCTTGTATCCATTAAATCCAGCTATTCAATGCATTCGTTTTAAGTTGTTCGTTTTCAATTTCAAATACTTTATCTCTTTTAATCGTTTTGGCTAATATATCTTTTAAAATTTTCTTATCTAACTAAAGCAGAAAATTCTTTACTGATGTTGCTAACCCTCTCTTTCCCTACAGTTTTAATTTTAACTTCATTTCAAACTTATCGGTCGGTCGATAAGTCCCTGAGTCAGAAACTCTGAACTCTCAAACAATGGTTATCAAAATATCATTCTAATGTATTCGTTCAGTTACGAGTTATAGTCGTATTGGTGGCGCTTTTTTTTTCTTATTTTCAAAAAATTTGACTTGAAAAATGTTAAACCGGTAGCTCTGCTTCGTCAGCAGCAATTCGTTAGCAGTTTACTGATTTCAAACGAGGCCCTGTGGCGATGACGACGGGGCCGAGCACAGCGGACGCCCAGAAGTAGGCTGTTTCAACAGAACGCATCCAAAATATTCTGAAACGTTATTCTCCATAAACGAAAACAATTTAAGAATCAAGGCTTTAGTCTTAGGTTTTATTTCCGTAGCTAAATTAATAACACTTATAATAATAAATTATTTTAATTTACGTATTAAAAAGAAAAACCTGTTAAAAGAAATTATATTGATTTTAAAGAGTAATCACTCCCAGCTATATACTCCTTTAAGTAGCTATACAAAAACTATAAAAGTTGTCCGTTAACTCGTCCGATGGTCGAGTCAGTTGGTCGAATTATCACTAAACATACATTTTTATAAAAGCGATATTTACTTTGTCATTTTTAAGTGAACATTTGATTGACAAAATTGAAAGATAATCAGATTTTACCACATAATTTTATATATGTGTGTATGTATATATGGATAAGTAAAAGTATAAATACATGTCTATCTCAACATATATATATAAGTATAAATATATATACGGATGTATATATATATATATATGTACGTATATTTATATATATTCATAAGTGAGAAAGCTTACCTACTGTTATAGCATCCCTTGTATTGGACGCATCATAACTAGTGAAACCATGTTGCGTTGAGGTCAATTTAATGCATTCAATATAAAGGATAATTTGCAATAATAATGAGTTCAAAAATATCATTTTAAAATTTCTTTTTTTTTTATTTATTAAAAATTAACTTCCAAATAGATCAACATTTTTAGACACAAGTACACAAATATTTCAAATTCAATGTTTGCGAACGCAAGAGAGAAACGCGACTAAATTCTTTACTATGATTTTCCAGTAGAGATCGACTGATTAAAATTGGAAAATTTTGAAAAGAGAAAGTAAAAAAGCTTTTCCATTGATTTATTCCTCTTTCTCATTTTCGCTCATACTCTCATCATTCGAATCGGTTTCGAATGAATCTATTGTTGAATCAATTGATGAATTGCGGCTGCGTGAGTATATAGAATTGGCGCATTTCAGCAGACGTTCGTTATTTGTAAAATCTGTAACAGCTTTAAACTCTTCTTTCACGGCAGCACTAAACGGTACCTTTTTAAATATATTATTATTGAAGCATTTTAAAGAAATTTATTCATATTAAGATCTAGATAAGTACTTACGTTATAATTTTGTGCTTTTCTGGCCACTTCGAAGCACCAATTGATTATGCCGAAAACCATGGATATAGCACAACCAACAATTAGAACGTAATAAATACCTTCCAAATTGCTAAAAGCCAATGGACTGACACCGCCGTCCGATTTCGACTGAAAATAGATGAGAATAAGATGTTGTAGACATATAGTAGCAGAGGGGCAAGGCCAACTATCCATTTGAAAGTCTACATTTCATGCGAACTCTTATATGGAAGGGAAGCAAGACCCTGTCAAAATTTTGCAAAGCAAATATTCTTCTCAAAGATAGCCACAGATAGCCACGAGCTTTATTTTTCGACATGCCTCTTACAGGGGGTGACGTTTAAAAAAAGGCCTTTGTGATCCAAATTTGTGTAGTTAAATTTTATGTGAAATAATTATTATGGAACAATTTGCATTATAAGATGCTGAAAATTAAATCTTCTTTCTATATAAAGGCTTACTTTTCATATTATTATTATTATTATTATTATTATTATTATTATTTTAATTTTAGACTAATGAAATGAATTCTTAGACTAAAAAAAGACATTGAGCACTAGCAACACAAGGCTATCGGCTCTAATTATAAAAAAGAATAATAAAATGTACATTAGATAATGAGATTAGTAGTATTAATAAAGTAATGTATATTATTATTATTATTATTATTAATTTCGCCAGAGAAATAAATTCTAAGACTAAACTCTTAAAAGCATTAGCATCTAAGGCTATCGGCCTAAAAAAAAGTAATGTATAGAATTGATATTCTGTTCTGAAGCTGATTGTAGAATGTTCAAAGGGTTAATCGTTCCAAATGCAATACTTCTAGCCAAGGAAAAGTTGAAGCAGTCGCAGAAAAATACTTTTCATAGGAACAGTTAAATAGTAAATGATTCAAAAATGAATTCATATTTTTTGTAATCAATGCTCTTTTATTTACTGATTTTTGTGAAGGAATTTTAAGAGATGCAGATTTTTTCATTTAAGAACTTTTTTTGAAACGAGGACTAGTTGTAAAACTGATCCGATCTACTCCATTTTCCATAAGTCACGGCCTTTGCCATAAACACGCAGCAGTGTGACAGTAAAAGATAGATTAAACACATTACATTTACAGTCATCAGACAGACCGACAGACAGATGGACAGACAAGCTTTTGCAATACCCAACTTTGCCAATAAATGCACTTATACATACGTGGATATGGCAAAAAGTGTGGGAACTGCATTTGAGTGTTACATACATCCTTGCCTGTAATAAGCCCACAACTATGTTTCACAATCCGTAAATGCGCATTTAATATTTGAGGTAAATGCATAAGGAAACGGTGCAAAATTTCGATGACTCCATAAATATGAAGAAGAATAAACAAATAAAACTTAATAAATAAAAATTACTAGAGTATCGTCTCAAAATTCCGTGTAAATATGATGTATTTGAAAATAAAAATTCGCTGTACAAACAGTTATTATCGTTCGTCAAGATGTACTCGAATTATATTTCCCTCTGCGATAAATGATTAATAAACCATTATTTCGATGAAGAGTAAATCGCTTGAATCGATTGAAAATCGATTATGTGATCTAATCTACGCGCGTTTTTATTTTGTTCTACTTTGCGATGAAATTTATTGAATTTCGTGGTGCGATGAAAATTTCTCTAAATTAATTGAAAATATTTTATTTTAATGAAAAAAATTGTGAAGAATTTTATATTATCCTCCATTTTTAATCAAACGGAAGCTGGGCTAATATTTTTCAGATGTTAGTAAATACTTGGCTTTTCAATGAAAAGGCGATAATAGATCTTATTTTTAACCTGCAGTATTGGTTGTAAAGAAATTTACCTATTGAAGTGGATTAAAAAATTTGACAATGACTCTTTGGCTGGCTTCTCAAAGCCGGGTTGCCAAAAACGACTTTTGGCATTTCAATGAAAAGTCACTAGAGGGTCAACCTGTAATGTAGGTATTTTTTTTTTTTTTTATTTCGAGAACGATTTTTTGACTGACCCGGTGGGCGTCGACTTTTTCATTAATTTGATTCTTTTGAGATACTCCAAGCGAGCTTCCAAAGCATGAGATTATGACTCAAAATAGAAATTAACAAGATAATAAAATATACTAGAAAGTAATTGATTACAGTAAAGCAGTTAAAATAAAAAAGTGTTGAGAAATCAATGAAAAGAAAAAAATAGTGAAATTTAACAAAGAATAGCAATAAAATGATGCGACTTCTACTGGCCTATTTAAAGTGATTTCTAAACCACTCTCTCAAAACTAAGGTGCAATACAAATCCAAATAGTCATTAAATACGATAATTATCATGACAATAACAGGTAAGCAATGATTTGTTTTTTTATTATTTAATTCATGACTCCGTTTAGGATGCAAGAACTCAAGATTAATATGAGGCCTTTGAAAGAAGCCTAAAATGCATGCTATTTGTTATATCATAAATTTTTAAAATATTTGTTAATTGAATATTTATTTGCGGCTGAGTTTTCCGAAAAAAGATATGAATAGATTTATATTAAAACACTTTTTGTATACTATATACTTTTAAGATGAATTTGCTTTGCGAAAAAAGTACTTAAGAATATTTATGGAAAAGTCAGGTGGATTTTAAATGGGATTTTTTTTCTTTTAACTTACATTACATACGCCGGCTCCAATTTCGTTCCACCATTTGTTTTTTAATTGAGCCAAAACACCTTGTTCTTGCAATTCCAATAAAGCATTGTTGAATTTATCACGGTACGGCCAGTCTACGATAAGAAGAAGTATTCTTCAAATTTTAAGAAACATTTTCAATTATCTTTAAGGAAAACTTACTTTTTACCATAGCTATACCGTAACCTTTTTCGTCTAAAGCTTCACCGATTTTTGTTAGTTTACATTCTCGTTGAGTATTATATTCGATAGACGTTGATTCCATGAGAAAAGCATAGGTTTTACCATTTTGAACATCACTAGATTTCACACGTTCCAAACCTTCTTGATTAGTTTCGGTAAGATATTCTGGATGAGCTAACATATATTCATTCATTTTTTTATAGATTTCCTCTTCCGATGTCTACAAAAATGCGAATGATATCGTAATTAATTTGAAATTACTTTTATACAATCAAATTACTAAGAAGAAATTCCTAGTCGAACCGGTACGTTTGGCACCGTATTGTACTCCGCCTTTGTTCTCCGACAAATCTTGAACGTTTTCTAAAAGACTAGTAGGATTTTCTATGGTTAAAAATGCAGCCAAATTTGCGGTATACGAAGAAACCATTATAAGAGTAAAAAAACACCATATAGCTGCCACGGTTCTGGTAGACAAGGCTCTGATTAAAAAAACAAAGGATATTTCCTTAGAGAGAACCAGTTGGTTTAATATTTGTTGTTACACTTACTTTGGTGCCACTTCTGAACCCTGTTGTAAAAGCGCTCCTGTGGTAAACCACAGGGCATTATTTATTGTGAATTGATTTTCCAATTCGTCTGGCTCTTCTACGCAAGGATAAGGATTATCCCATTCGGTTGGCGATAAACGGCCCAAAATAAAGAAGCACAGTGATACTCCTAAATAAGCTAAACCTAAATAAATCCAAACTTCCTTCGAAAATGGATCCATAAATGAGAAAGTAGTGGGATTGCTTTTTTGCGGTTTCAGGTAAAGAATGCCTATACCTTGATAATTTAAGAAAAGTTAATGAAAAAATCTTGTGGCTTTTAAAAAACAACTTACCTAAATTCATAAATGGTATTGAAAAATCAATAACTTCTTCACGTTCCGAAGTGATCGTTAAGTCGGTTACAGCTAAGTCAGCACGCTGCAATAATTTGTCTTAAAATTATTTTAATAGAGCCTTTTGTCATAGGGATGTCCGTCCCCTTCCCCTTCTTTGGTTTTTTGATTCCTCATATTCCTCATATTTGTTCTAGTCCGTCTTCCCTTTCTGTCAAAGTGTATTATTTTTTTAAGGCGCTTTGCCAAAATGTACGGAAATTGTTTGAATGTTATTTCAAAATCGGATTGGTCCTGATAAGAAACCAATCTTGCCTTGTTTTGTGCAAATCTTCGCGTGCATCCCTTAATAATGTTATCTGCGTATAGGACACCTAAGAAGATGGAGCAAAAAAACGTATTCGGCTGACAAATAGAAAGCTGACAAAGGTGTTATTATTATTTTCGGGTTTGGGACTTTCACTTTGCTGACTTTTTGCATGGGAGTTGAGAAATCAGGTCCTCTTCAATCCTCTTCATTGAAAACAGAATCGAGTAAGGGACATCCCTAGCAAGATATCCTGCAATTTTTTTTTAATTCGAAAGTTTTTTTTTACTTTACCCCTTCAACCATTTCTTTTAACATGCCTGTGGTGACGTTTGTCGTCTTATTAAATGAACCATAATCGTTACCACCATTAATAAAAGTGAAATTAAATCCCAATTTATCGGCTAATTCTTTAATCAAATCAATACCATAACCTTCATATTGACTATTGCCATCCAATTTCTTGTGACTTTCTACTAAGCTGGCATAGGGTTTGTTCTAATAGAAATGTTCACATTAATGATTATATTTAATGCGAAATACAAGTACAACTAACCGGCACCGCTATTAAAACTCGAAGTGTTTTATTTATCATTGAGTTGTCAACATTATCTGCTATAGGCTTCATTTGTATGGGACGTTCAAAGGTGAAATTTTTATGTTCTTGCCACGTGCCAACTTTTATCAAACCGGTTGGCTGCAATTCAATAATTTCGAATTGAGAACCTTTACGTATGGACCCTTCAAAATAAATATGACCCGTTATTGTGTTTCGGTCAAGTAAAATCTGTAAAAAAAAAAGATGAGCAAAACATTAGGAATATAAAGAACATAACGAGAATTTTTCATTTTTTAAAAATATATATATATAAATAATTTCCTAGATAGATCTGTGATTTTGGCAGATTTGGCTGAAAAGTGTCTTTGTTCCAAGGAAACAAAAAATCGCAAAGAAACCCCTCTCCAGAATGGAACCGTTACGACATTGTAAACGTGACGTTTGATTCAAATATTCCGGAAAAATTCAATAGATTTGCGATAGTTTTGATTACTATATGTGTGATATATAATATAGAAAATAAAAATTGTTTTGTTTGACCTAAATGAGATTTCTCTATTTTCAGCGACCTCTATGATGCTGATGGCTTTATTATGAAGTAGATTTCCGTGAGTTCTATTACTTTAATGATTAGTCTGTCGTGAAGTTCAGATCTCCCATTATTTCCGATTTTTTATTGGACATCTTGAAATTTTTTTTATATATGTTGTAAAAAATTTGGAATTTTGACATAATACTTTTTTGATCAAGTAATACGTCTTTAGATTCATAAGAAAGTACATTTCTTTTCTCATCCCACATTCATTACATAAACTGGAACGCAAAGCCTGGTGGTGCTAAGGGAAAAAAATTCATGAATTAATTAATTATATAGCGACGCAGGTAAAAATTTTTAACATTTCCAACCGTCACATGTATTTGTACACAATGGCTTCTTGTCATAGCCCGACGTGACGTATATGTGTACCATATATTTGTATCAGCTTAAAATATCATCGACTGTGTGACTGTGGTTTTTCCAGGAGGAGTTGTTAGCGAACGGGTCAAGTACTCTGTCATCTTAACGGTTGCTTGGCAACCAAAGATCGCTTACATATAGGAAGAAAGTTTTTTTTTTTTTAAAACTATAAGGTGCTGAACGATTAAAAGAAATGAAACGAAATAATTGCATAACATGTTGCGCACATAGTTTCAATTTGCGTTTGTATATTGGACTTGAAGTGTGTATGCACTGTTAGATATAATCCGCCATAAAAATATTAGCAGGTTAGAAATAAATAAAGTTTTATATAAATATGGGGTTGTAAGTATTATATAAAGAACCTAATGAACTCAATTTTGAAGAGTGCTTTTCACGCTCGTAAGTTGAAAGCGATAAATGTGAAAATTGCTCTAACTTGAATAGGCTTACTAGAGATGACGTAAAGAAAGTTGTCGTCATCTGTTTCAACAAATATTTCTTGTGGGCGGATAAAGTTAGTGAGTAATTCTTACCGATCTCATGTAATTCTTAAAAGTTGTACCGTCCTCTAGTACATCAATTGAGAAATCTGAACAATTAAGTGCATGTGGCGCATAATGCAAATATTTTGTAGTTTCGGCGAATGCGACCACAGCATCGTAAGTTAAAGCCATTTCCATAGTGATGGGGCAAGAACCTTAAATACAAATCAGAAGAAGAATAAAAAATAATTTCTTTGCAGAGAGAGAAAGAAATTTGAAAATTTTACCATTACGTATAATTTCGTGTTCAGTAGTTTCATCAAGATAACCTAAATTTTGCATAAGATTTCGCACTTCACTTTGTTCGGCCGAAAACATACGCATACCCGTAATATTAGCTTCGCTATATTTGTATTCTTCTAAATCGAAGGTATGGAAATCCAAATTTCCGATAATATATTTATAGTCTTCGTTCATAATGCCAACTTGTTGCGCCTTAGAAATGCATTTAAGAGATAATTAAAGTAAATTAGTTACGTTTTTCACACCATTTCTTTCACGTTCGGGTGTGCACTCCCTCTCTCTCTCTCTCTTTCTATATATTCCTGGCAATTTCTCAGAATAAAGTTGGACATCATCATTGATTAAATAGGCACTCCTTTTAGTTATCATCGTAGTATGAGGTTACATTGATAATTTTCGAAAAGCGAGTCAGAATAGTCAAAAACTAACCGGAGTATTCTGAACCCCGTCACCGAGTCACAAACATCGTCAGCTTGTGGCCTATGGACTTTGCTTTATAACTAAATTGATATTCGAAAGTCTCAGTCACAAACTCCTCTCATTAACGACCGGCCGCAATGCCAGCCCATGTCTGTATGCCGTCAGAGTAAGATTCGAAAACGATTTGGCCATGTTAACGTGGCCGCACAACATCCGAAAAAACTAGAAAATCCGAATATATAAAAATTTTAACATCCGATAGGCAACATTAGACGTTCCTTAAAAATATTTCTTGGAATTTCTGACTCTTTCTCGATCTTGATCAGCCGACTGAAAAGCGGACATGTCTTTTTTAATGCCTTAGAACATTTGCGCAGAACGTACACCTATACATAAGCAAAAAAAAAGACCAGGACAGATCTTCATCATCCGCGAGTATCGTAAGCTCTTTGATGTACACGATTCAATATGACCTGAAAATTCTCGTCCACGCTTGCACATATAGGTAAGAGAGGGAAATTCAGAAAAAGCGAATACGGATATGTTTGAAAATTGTTTTTTTTTTATCATTTAAAGCTCTTGGAATGCTTACTTGTTTCAATAATTCTGCCACCGATTGTGTAGAGCCTACAATTAGGATGCGATTATCTACCGATTTACGTACTCTACGTAAAACTGATTTAAAATTTCCATTTAAATTTAAGTCATAATGAATGATATTAATTACAGGTCCTGTCGTCACGTATAAGGACATCAATGCATCTAATATACTTAGAAATTCGGCTGAAAATAAAATGTTTCTTATTTAACCATTTATATAGAATTATTTACGTTCTCACAATTCTCGTAAAGGTAAATAAATCGTGACCATTCAAATTGCTCTACAATAGCATGAATTGTTTTCGCAATATCTAAAGGATGAGGATGTAGATTGAAAGCGTCATAACGTCCACTAAGGTGTGAGTAAATGAATGGTATATCTTTGCTATCGCACATATGCATTAGATAGGATGCAGTATTTTCCGCAGAAGGAGCGAAAATTCCCCCTACGCCTAACTATATTCAGAAAAGTACTTACTTTACAGCATTGAAAACTTCTTTTTACTATTTCAGCTACCTTCGTCAACTTGCACAGTTGATTAATGCCTTGCATAATATTCCCGTAATCCATGGTTTCCTGATGGCCTCTTAGCGGTACAGTCAAATCGGAATTTACCACTTCGATAGCATAATCAAAAGTACGACGTAAATAGTCTGCATTTAAATCGGAAATAAGACCTATTTTTTAAGAGTAATTAATTGATTAATAGAGTAATTAGTAGATTTTAGAAAATTCCACTCAACTATTTTTATACCCATCACCGAAGGATATGGAGTGTATGCAAAGTATTTGCAACGGCTAGAAGGAAATTTCTGAGACCCCACAAGGTGTACGTATTCTGTCCGTCTGTCCTCTTTGGGTAATGTCTGATGTAAGCATTCTCCTGGCCTTAAAAATGAGGATATCGGCGTAATAGTTCCTGCAGGCAGGCTGGTATTCAAGATCGACAAAATCGATTAAAGGACACTCCCACAGTATTGCGTAAACTGAAATCGCATCTGTCTTTCAAAAATTGGTTTTGTACTCATTACCCATAAGCCACAGCAGATCAATGTACAAAAATTGAAATGTATATTTTACGGGCGAGGCTGTACCACAGGTAAAAATGGGTAAAATTGATTATGTCTACTCGATATGATCAGTGTGTATGAAAGTTTAAATTATTATTTCAATACCTTTATAACGTGTATAAGCAAGTTTCATAAACCCCATAAAGTATATAAATTCTTGGCCAGTTTGAAATTTGAAATGCACCTAAGCTTGTGTTCGTTTCTCCATTTGTTCGTCTGCCCGACTGCGTAGCGTCCGTGGTACACATTCTTCCGTTCGCAAAAACGAAACGAAACGATGTCGCCTACAAGTGGCAAAACAATTCAGCAGTCATCCGAACCGGTCAAAGGACAATCCTATAATGCCCATATATCTATGCGACGCAACACCAACTGTGATGAATACCTTCGCTTTCTGTGTTTTTTACTTCTGACTCATAAAGTGCAACACATAGAGTATAAAAATGTACTCTTTGTTCTTTTTTTAGTCTGTTTTAAGACAACGGTGAGGGATATAAAAAATTCGGCCGCAACCGAATATAATTTCCCGACTTGTTTTAACTGTTTTCATTTACCCAAATGTATGTTATTTAATGTGCCATCGTAACCGTTTAAAGGGTAAAAAGCTTTCACGCCATTGTTTATTGAAATCCTTTCTATCAAAAATATTATGAAAATTTTCAAAAACATAATTTTCTATTTTTAAAACTTGCAAAAAAAAAAAAAAAGAATTAGTAAAAAACAAGCAAATTGACTTTTTCTATGACACTTTTTCCCGTGTTTGCGTTCGTTACGCTCTTCGCCCTCACGACTTACTAATAATTGCCGGTTTTCTCTTAATTGAAGAACTTTTCTTTTTCGTAAAAGTTTTGGAAATTTCCACATCAATTCACTTTTCCTTAACATCGTGTAATTTTCGCTCTCTATATATATAAGTTAAATGCCTTTGTAGGCTAAGAACATATGAGCTTTATTTTTCTCTTCGCAGTACTTGGGAAGCCCAGAGAATATGTATAAATTTGTGAGTCGCGGTGTTGTCGTACATCTATATTTTTGTTCGCCTGTCCGCTGATCATGTTTGGAACTCTTAGGGTATAAAAAAGTTGATTGCTGCACAAAGACTATATAAAAAGCTTAATGGACAAGAATATCAAAATATTCGTCTCAATACTTTATACTATATATCTACATCCGTCGTTCGTACAAATATTTACTAATATGCTGAGAATAGTTCGCAGATCTATTTATTAAAAAGCTTTTACGAATTATATATATTTTGCTCGAATTATTCGAATTACTTCTTTGAAAAAGGAATTCGACAGACATCAAGGTCTTGATTTTGCTTAAGATTTTGAATCGATTTAACTATACTTATCCGTTTATCATCTCACGGACGCAAAAAGTGAAGTAGAACATGTATGATCTTAATTAAGCTCTTAGAACATATTTCAAAACAAATATGATGCGCTCAGGCACAATAATGTTTAAAATAAAAATATTGAAAAAAGGTTTCAAATATGAAAATTTTCAAACATTGTTGTCAACAACTTCCGAGTTACACTAGATGTTGATCTTAAAGTTCATAGATTCAATGCATCAACAGCTTTGATTGTTCACTTAATAGGTTCACAACGATCAAAAAGCTTTGTTAAGCGTCGTCCAGGGCGAAGATAGTACGATTGTAAAATTTAAAATCCTTTCATCATTCGCGTAATACGTCTGATATTGTTGAAAAGCTTTTTGATAATTGAGAATACGGAATGGTGATGAAAGTGTACTTACTGACGTGATGTGGGAAAGTTTTATAAAAAAAGTTATACGAACATTGTATGCGCAAATGATATCCGTCATCTGTTTGTAGTGTGCCTACAATCTAAACGCTACGTGATTGCTTAGAAGAAGAAACAGCCGAATAAATCTTATCGTATGTCTCTTGATGTGTTTTTTGGTTCAATCTGCAGCTCATAGTCTTATGATAATTAGACGAAATTCGGAGGGTAAATCCTGTTGAAAATAGGTGCAATCGGTCTATTTTTGTAGCGACTGCCCATGTATCGCTATCGTTATATGAAACAAATTTTGTATTTTCAATATTTTTCGGGTGAAAAGTAGAAAATTTCAAAAAAAGGGGACCATTTATTGACCTTCCCCTCCCTTCTCTGACCCTTCCATATAAAAACAAGTGATTTGAGATTGCAATTTACTGCATCAAAATTGGTGTACATATATATAAATGTCTATTTTTCGGGCCACTACGGAATACATGACAGTAATGTGTGATTTTTGACATTTCATGTGTGATGGACTCTTAATAGGCATTACGGGGCTCGAACGAAGTGCAGTGAGTTTAAATAAGTAAACATGGATTCCAAACGTTTTCTGTGAGATAACAGTGGATTCTAGGGAGAGATAGTGAATTGTAAAAGGTGGCGGAAGACGGTGAAGTGGAATATAATAAGTAATGATGGATTCTAATGGGTCGGAAATCAGTCTACCGCGCGCCGACCAATTCTGTTTGGAATCCGTGGATATTATTATATCGCCGCGGAATATATACTAAGTAATGGATTCTAATGAGTGAAGACGAGTTTAATACGCAGTGATTTATTCCGTACGGAACACGTGCATTCTAATAGGTGGTGGTCTATTCTGATGATTTTGAATACTAGCGGAATATAATAAGTAATGATGGTTTCTAATGGGTAGAGGATAAGTCTACTGCACGCCGATCAAGTCCGTGTGGAATCCGTGGATTCTAATAGATCGCAGCGGAATATATAGTAAATAATGGATGCTAATGAGTGAAGACGGGTTTAATACGTAGTGATTTATTCCGTATGGAACACGCGTACGCTAATAGGTAGCGGGCTATTTTGCACGGAAGTGGTGGACTCCGACGGGAGAGAGGAAGTGATAGGAATAGGGGAGAAACTGTACGAAGTGGTTTAATTTTCTTAAATTAAAATATACTTTAAAATTTATCTTAAACAATTTTTGGTATCACAAAATATATTTTATTTTTTGTATTGATTTTCATTTTAATATTAAAAATAACATTAATAATTAATATGTTTCATTATAATTCATACATGAATTATTCTTTTGCTTCAAAGGAATATAAATATGAAAATAAACTTTGCAATACTGGCGTACATTTGTAGAGTTATAATTTTTAAAATTAAAAAAAAAAAAAAAATTTGTAAAAAATAAATTTAACTTTGGGATGTTTGAGACGATACTGCATAGGTAGACATCCTCTGGCGATTCTTATAATACTAAAGCTGAGAGAAAAAAAGAAGGAGAAAAAGAAAAAAAAGAGTCTATTGTAAGGGATAAGCGTTTCGAAATTTTGAATTCCCTTCACTTTACGAGTTTCGTTTTTAATAATTGTGTGCTTATGAATTATCTATTGTGCAATGGTAAGGGTTAACATATAAGAAAAAGCAAATGTTGTATTTATTTTATATCTATCCGCAAGTCGACTAAAGAAAATAATTTTTCCTTAACAAAGAACTCTTAGCTACTTTTCAATTTCAATCTATTTCCTCCACAGATAGAGGCTGAGAAAATCGAAAATCGATGAAAATTTTATTTTATGAATTAAACTGCAGGCATCTATGCCGACGGCTGAGTATGATGAGGATGTGACGATAAGTACGAATATAAGTAATAAAAACATTTACGAACTATCTTGTGGGAACTCTGTTAAGTGTTTAGGGTAAGGCTGAGCAATATTTAGAAGCCTCCTCCGTTCAAATTAGGAAAGATATTTTCACAAGATTGTAAACGAATATATACTTCGAACGAAGTAAAGAAAATTAAGTTCTGGTATTCCTCATAAGCTTTTGAAATTTGGTACGACTATGCGAAAATATTCAAATTTGAGACTCTAGCGCGGGAAATTTAAAAAAAAAAGTCAACGCTTTTACCCTAAACAAAAAATAAATAAAATTTCGATATTCTTTTTGGGGCATTGGGTGGGCATTTTTTTTTCTATTTTTGTGCTTGCAGACCATGCACATGTGGAAATTTTTATCATTGTAACATTTAGTTATGAGAAAAGTAACAGTTTAATAGGAAAACGCAGCTTTTTTCTTTTCCTTTGATCCAGTGAATTAATCTTTAATATCCACCTTCAAATTTGGAGTGGATATCTTGTAAAGCTGAGCAAATATATTGTTTATAGGGTCTCTGAAGCCTCAAAATGAATTTAATCTTAACTTCTGGTTGGTGAATATGATGATATTGTAATATTTCCCCGGTCTCGCATGAAGCATATTCGCCCTCTTTTTATTTTTGTATTTGATGGTATTGGTAGAAGGAATGGACAAACCGTTTGCAGAACGTCTAGAGGTACTTGTACATCCCGTAGATTCAGAAACGTTATCGGAATCGATTCAAAATCATTATCAGTGTCGATGCCCATCTGTCCGTCTTATGTCTGTCTAGATATATTTGCGTTTAATTTACAGCACACAACTTTTAGGATACTTTGATGAAATTCGCTGCTCTGATATATTTTTGCTCAAAGATGAATGGGTGTTGAAAATGACTTTGAACCGGACCATTTTCATTCATTTCCCCTCAAACAATTATATGAAGACAATTTGCAATAGTTAATATATCTGAGGTGAGGAACGCAATTTCAACATGTAAGAATTGAAACGGTTTAGAATCTTACTCTGACCTAGAAAAGATATCTTTCAAACCTTTTCTGATTTATTTCCTATGCGCTGTGGCATAGGCAAATTGACAAATTCGTATGTTTCGATGATGATGGTCGCTCGAGAAAATATTTCTCCAAAGACATTATTATGTGTATTATAAAATAAATGAATTTATCTAAATTGCGCCATGCGATGCATTTTTTCCCCACTTCTGAATTAACTTTCCGACTACTCTAATAAGAATAACACTAACATAACACTAATGACAACAATTGGTATGCATGCGCGAATAGTAATAGCATTGATTCTATGATATAAGTTTTGTTGCCCTGTTTGTGCATTCAACTGCGTAATGCAATTCATCAATGAAAACAATGAAATGATTGCTAAAGCAGAATGCGTGCCATTTTACTGCGTCCATAAGTGTGTGGCGTACGAAAGTATTTGTAAAACGTTAGAGCATTAATTTAGAAAAAAAAAAACATGATAAATAAATTGATCAATAAAAATGAAATGAAAAAAAAAAAGAAAAAAAGAAGAGTTTATGTCGCGAACAAGTTACTGCCAGTAGATGCGTGCATACGAAATAAGATAACATATTAAATGAATGATGAATTCTCTAGATGTCGTTGTTGTTGAGAGCAATGAGTTAGATAGTGGTGGTCTATAAATTTCAATATTTATGTTTACTATTCATATATGTATGTATGTACGTATGTATGTATGTATGTATGTATGTATGTATGTGCGCAAAATTCGACATTTAAACATTTTTTATACGGGTAAAGAATATTATACGTACTTGCATTTAAAATGGCTTATACCGGACAGTGTTTTATACTTTCCCGTCGACTGTTGTAGTTGTGATAGTTGTTGTTGCGTAGTAGCGCAATATTAATATCAATGGAACAACAAGAGTAGCGTAATTGAAATAGTTGTTATGTTATAATAAATAGTCAATTAAATGAATGTCGTTGCAGTTTAAACGATTCTTCATTTATAGTCCTTTATCATAGCTCTTCTTCTTCTTCTTCTTCTTATTATTATTATCAGGTATAGTATGATTTAGTTTTTTTTTCTATTTGATTTACCAAACGCTGCATTTATGTATTGGATTCATGGGTGAGCCAACGCGACATGAAAATTCTCTAGAAAAATCCTCGGAATTCGATACGGTACCGATGACACGAAACCTGCCCGGACTATGAATGGCTGTGTTTAGTTTATTGCGTACCGCTTCAGGACGCATTGCGCCACACCAAACTTGACCGAAATTGAGGAAGAACAATTGAGGTCCCGTCATGTTAAGACCGGGTAAACGTTCATCGCCAATTGCGTCTGGATTTGCATCTAACCAATTTTTGTAGGCATGAAATGCTTGACGTATTCCCCCATTATCGGCTATATTCTCACCTAAATTAGTAAATAAGCATTAACTTTACAACATTAACGAGTGCAGTGAAATATACTTTGAGTGCTTTACCTTGAGTGCTTTCACCGTTAAGAGCTATACCCACTTCACCGACCGTGTAATTGCCATATTGGGCTATAATACATCGCGCCCTCTCATCGAATCCACGTATCGCCGAATCTGACCACCATTTGTGAATGCTGCCATTACGATCAAATAAACGCCCTTTGTCATCGAAGCCATGGGTTAACTCATGGCCTATAACGACACCAATGCCACCGAAATTCAACGATCTGGGGAAATGACGATGATAAAAAGGTGGCTGCAAAATTCCAGCCGGAAACATTATCTGATTTTTATTGCGACTATAATATGCATTTACAATGGCCGGTGCTGTTTGCCAAGTCGTTTTATTGACCGGTTCATTTAATTTGCTTTGCTCAGTTTTCGTGGTATGCAATAAAACATTGATTGTATTTTCAAAATACTTATCTGCATCAATTTCGATGCCAGCGTATTTTTCATTTAAGTCATCTGGATTTAAAATAAAATCAGGATAACCGATTTTCAATGACATGGCATTAACTTTTAATTCGGCTAAATATTTTGTGTTGCCATCTAACCAATCTGTCGTTTTCAATATCTCGCGAAAGGCTTGTTGCAGCTCATGCGTCATTTTCAAGGTATCCTTTTTACTATTCTCATCGAAATATTTGCGCACAAACATTGAACCCAACGCCATGCCCATGTTAGTATTCACTTGAGATATACATACTTTCCAGCGTGATGGTGATTCCTCGCGTCCGAATAAAGCATGATAGAATGTTTGTTTCGTATCATCGAACCGATCATCCACATTGTTAATGCGATGCCGTATAAAACGCCACATTAGATAATTGGCTATGGTCATTGATTCCGTTTCTCTTAACAAGTTAACCAAATCCTTCATATAATCGATAGCGTAGATAACAATTTGTTCTTGTTCATTGACATTACGATCTTGTAAAATGTTTAGGTAACGCAGCCAATCTATTTCAGGTACAATACCACGCAATTCACTCAGTGTCATGCGTTTATATAATTTTGTGACATTTAAGCGTTTTTCCGCAGGTGCTGTAATGGATGCCAAACGCGTTTCGAAATCAATTAAATCGGCAGCTGCTTTTAAAGCCACTACCTTCGGTGCACCCAATTTATGCATAACATCGCACGTGAAACGTTGATAGGCATGTAAATATTTCGCATTTACATTTTGCAAGTAATATTCACGAGTAGGTAAACCCAAATTGGTCTGATCGAATTGTATTATGTTTTCATCGGAATTTTTGATATCCGGACCTACCCATTGAACTATGAGAATATCATTGTTATAACGTCTCAGTTGGGCAGTGAGATTTAACCAATCGAATTGCTGACTATTCCAATTAGCATCTAAAACCGGCCAACCGCCTAAATTGTGGATAAGTTCGATTAGCGGTTGTATACCTCTCTTCTCTAGCAATTTAATATTAGTACAGGATTGATATAAATTCCTAGCCTTGGCTTGGGCATCGGTTTTTTTTTCACTGCTATACACTTTGTGATGGCTACCAGATTTGACCGGTACATGATGTTTATGATGAGGTATAGTATGCGAAATAGTTTTCACTTGACCTGCTTGCGGGCTCGTGCTTGCTTCGCTATCTATAGACGTTTCCACGCGTTTCCTTCTTGTGCCGGTTGTCTCAGTGGCAAGTCTTAAATTGTGACGTCGATATCTCAATAAGATGCGGCTAAGTATTGCTCGCTTTCCAACAATATGTCGACGTACTTTCTGCTTTTTAAGCTCATCGTTAAGATCAGAATTTACACTTTTTACAATATCGGCTTCGATATCGTCATCGGGTTCATAATTGTTACCCCCAATATGTGTGATTTTTTTTAAATGTGCTCGTGGCTCGTCATGGGGCCTTTGTTCTAACAGCTCCTTCAAAACCACATCCAAATTCTCGCGTAACATTTCAAATGTATCGAAACCTGCTTTATCTTTCGGTATTGGATGATGTTTCTCCCAATTACCACACGCATACTTGTAAAAATCCTGGCATGGCTCTATTTCTGTATCCATATATTTCAACATAGTACGAGCTTGAGCTTCGCGAATGCTTTCTTTAGTGCCTTGTTCGTTCCAAAACGATTGCAATGATGACATGGACTCAATATAAGGTATATCCTCTTCATGTAAACTTGAATCGTTTGTAACTTCGGTAACACTGTCCGTATCACTTTGGGAAGTTCTATCGCGTCTTAAACGTTTGCGTGCGTAGCTTTGTAGAAATTCATTTATATCAAAAAATTCGGGTGCGTAAAATTGATCACTGTTACTTAAGTTCTCCAAACATTCACGCGGAATTGCAGTGGTATCGCGCGGCAAGAACGAAGTGCGAGCATCTCTCATTATATCACGATCTTCGACATCAATTGTTTCACTTAGGCCAAATTTAAATGATATGCAACGTCTTATACGTTCAAGTTCTTCCAATCTCTCCCTCTCCGAAGATATTAATAACTCTTCGTCGAGTATATCCTGCAGTGTATCACTGTCGACTAAATTGTCATAGTCGTCGAGAAAGATGGGTTCTTGATTTAATTTCTGTTGAAATTTTTTTTGCTGACGCAACTGTAACGCCAACAGCATGCCATCCATACGCATTAATAGTACGAGTACTAAAGTTATGGGTAACATTATTACTGGAAGTACAATTAAAATTTTACAACATGTTAAGCCCGGGCACCATTGCAAACGACCGGTTTGCGCGTTCACGCCTAAACCCAATTTAGATTTACTAGAACCTATACCGTTATAACGTTGGTAATCATTGCATTGATTTTGATGCTGCGTAGCTGCCAAAGACCTTGAAGTGTAACTAATTGAATTGTTATGCACTTGAACTAAGGGATAGGTATGAGTTTTTTGCTTTCGATTGCAAAAATTTATGGGCTCCTCATTAATAATAACCCCATCAGCCATAACGTAAATAACATAAATATTTGTTCGCTTTATTTTGCCCAAAGAAGAATGAATAAACACGTCCCTCTGTTTTTGCGTTTTTAGAAATATATCTATTTGATGGCCGATGAAATGAATTCGAGCTTTCAATTGAGACCAATTGAATTTTTTTATTTTTTTTTTTATTTTTTTTGTTGCAATATAAAAACTGAAAGTAAAATTTTCACAATTTTCCCGTTTATTTCTTTTCTTTTTCCTTTTTTCTTTTTTTTTTTTTTTTTTTTTTTTTTTAGAAACCGCTTTAGCTTGTTTGAAGAGGCCGCTTAAAATGTACTGAAAGTGATCATTTTGCGATCAGCTTCTGTGCCTGTAGCTTCTGTAGCTCTAAACCTCTGAGATTTTTTTATTTATTTATTTGTTTTTTTTATTTTTTTTTTATTTTTATGTGAAAGACATCTTCATTCATTAGAATGAATAGTAGAGATTTGTCAATTAAATTGCATGAAATGAGAGAGTATAGGGAATGAGTGGTAAGCCGAAAGAGAGCAAAAAAAGGGTGGGCGAGAGAAGAACAGTGAAAGGGAAAGGAAAAAAGAGAGACTTGTTTAAATATAGTAGACAGTAATGAAAAGTGATTGTTTGTCAAAAAGCGAAATAATTTAGGACACAATTGCTCTCGTAGCATATCTACTCTACTGTAAGTTGACTTACATGATCAGATAAGAAATCAAAATAAAATTTAAATGATTAAGATGATAAACATATCATAGGTTTTTTAATAGGTCTACTTATGAAAAGAACCGCTATCTAAATCGGATAACTACCAATTTTTCTATCCTCTGAACTTTTACCCTCTTATTTATAATTATAATTAATAAGCAAGCATTGGAGGATAATAGCAAATGTTCTCTCCGTTCGAAAATGTGATAAACATTTTTGTATTTTTGCATGAAAATACGATTTACATTTAGCTTACGTATCATGTAGAGTAACACTTACCAGGTAAAATAATATGTAGTAATAATAATGAGATATAATATTACTGATAATAACCATAAATGTGTTGTTGATGTTATAGAACAAGTTTACGTTTCTTTCACTACCTTTGGTGTAGAACATTTGCCTTACAGTTACCAACAATTTCCATTGAAAGGTTTTCTATGACCAAACAGATTTCTTTTCAAATTATTTAGACAAATTCATTTTTTCTAATCGATTACTTTATTACTATCGCGAACTCGGAGCAATCACTTAGTTGAAAATAAAAAAAACTTCTCTCAACAAAATTCTGCATTAACTCCTTATATACTTTTCTCGTATAATGAGTTTCCCAAAGGAAGTGAAGTGTTCGGAAAAGTTGTCCAATCCGAACCACTTTCAATAGCCTCCGTCCTTGGATTAAAATATCACAAAAATTTCGATCTGTAGATTAATAAGCAAAGAATACATGGGTAGACATTAGACGGACCGACAGACAGACAGGCTGATATTGGCCGGTCTATCGCAAATCCTACTCTCGCAAAAACTTAATGTATCTTGCTCTGCAACTGGTGTAAGACAGAGAAGAAATTTAAAATAACTGTTTAACGAAGAAGCTTTTTTCAGTGTGCTTTCGTGTGGGCAGAAGAATGCAGAACCGATATTTCGGATATTTCCGTATGTTTTGTTCAATCTTGCTGCCTCTCATAATGCACTCAATTTTTCTATATATGCAGAACAGCGGCCGCCGAAGGTCATACTAAAACTATGTCCGCACTTGCCGTTCCAAATACAGCACAATGTAGTGCAGTCAATCTTTCTCAATATTTGAGCGGCATGGGGTGTCGGATTACTCTTCCGTAGCAATCTACTTTATGTGAATAATAACCAAAAGTAGTTGGAAGGGGAAAACGCATCATGCTAAATTTGTCCGCTTCTCGGTAAACAGACTGGCTACCACGAATACACGGATTAGTTTTTTTCTTAACAGTCTTTTCCATTATTCCGTACACCTATAGGGAGTATTTCTTATATCTTCTCTAACCTATACCTACAGGAAATAATCCTTTGTTTAATATCTATTAAGTAAAAGGTCCTAAAAATAGGTAGATGTCGGGGGCTAGGGGAACTAGCGGTCTAATTTTATTAGACTTGCTTTTGTAATTTTCAAACAATCGGAAGGTCTGAATTTCGTATGTTGATTAAACGTTGCTGTTTGGTGGGAAAGGATATCGTTCATAATCAGCATTGTCTTGGAAGACCGGCAGACGAAGCTGCACAAAATACCTGACAACTTAATGATACCAGAGAGCAGCATATTTAATGTTCCGCATTAATGTTTGTCCAAGAGGAAGGTCGGCTTGAACTAGGTACCGCGCTTGTTCAATTTTGACAACAACGTGTTGTTGATTCAGGTTTTTTCTTTTCGATATGACCGATTACTCAAGGCATGTCCTTTATTCGCGTAACGCGGAGACGGTCAAAAAGAAGTGAGGAAAGAGAAAGAAAGAAAGCAGCGATGTGGTGGCGGGAGCCTAATGGATGCGTGCCCAATTGAAAGTTGTTATGCCTTTACTGACTGAGCCCTCGATGGTGCTTAGCCACATCAAATCACAAATTCGACCTCGATTCCGTATTCTGTCATTTCAGATAGAGACGTATTGCAACATTTAAGGTCATTTAAACGCAGTTGCGCGCTTGGTCTTGATGGCATTCCATCATGTGTACTCAAGTCATGCTCTGAGGAATTATGTGCTGTTGTCTCAAAGATTTTCAACCTTTCTTTGAGAATGGATGCTTCCCCCTCCCCATTAGAAGAGCAACTTCCCTATCCCGATTTGCAAAAGTGGGAGCAGATATTTGGTTGAGAACTACACAGGTATTGTTGTTGTATTTCTTACCTAAATTGCTTTCACTGTCAAATCCTATATTTCTCCATTTAAGCATGCCTTCCTAAAAGACATATCAACCGTTACGAATCTCTTAGCTTTTACTTGTCATGTTAACAGGTTTGCAAGACTTTTTCTAGTGGCTTTCGCACGGAAATAATATGAACTGATTTTAGTAAACCGTTTAACTTGGTTAGCCATAAATTATTGATCTTTTAACTACAGACCTCTGGCTTTCCAAGTACCCCTTAAGATAGCCATTTAGGACCCTTTCTGTTTTTCTTGTACATCAACGATCTCTCTTCGGAGTTCAAGTCCAGTCATATCTTAATGCACGCTGACGATGTTAAACTGTTTTCTTCTTTTTCTTTGCTCACGGGGCGACTTGCTGACGAAGAATTCGCTATATTTTATAATTTCCGAAGAAAATGTTATGCTCGGTTGGTCAATCGTCAATAAAGTCGAAACAATTGAGGAGGACTGGGACGTTTTATCTTCGCAACTGAACCAGGATCAAAAAGACAAATTCAAACAATTTGCAGACGGCGTGATACAATGTAACGCATTATGTAGATGTACTACACAAAGTAAGGGACCGAATTTCCAATGATTAATTGAAGAAATTGATAAGTACGATAATAACGTAAGAAAAAAAAGAGGTCGTGTTCGGAGATGAACGAAGTTGCACAAACCATTGCAAAGGCAGAAATGTTGTCAAATAAGGTTTGCGGGATTGGAAAAGAATCCGATTTGGTCGAACTGTTGATCAATTAAAGCGATAAAAGAGCTTAATAAAGGTAAAGTGTTCGGCCTTGGTTAATAAGAAGGGTATAGTCTTCTATCCTGACTTTCCCTTACCACGTACTTCTTTAGAAAGTCGGAAAAATGCGAGAAAATGGGTTGGAAAGTATTGTGCCATACTCTCTTCTAGACCCCAACTCGTTTCTTTCAATTATCGCTTCTTTTGCTCTCCGCGGAACTCTCTTAATGGTACACAGTTAACTTCAAAGGAAGTTTCTGCGAATTATTTTGTTCAGTTTTTGTGTAATTTTTTTTATATAAGAAACGATAAAAAGTTGTCGAGAAAATTGTTATACGTGTTTGTGTGTATCTAGACTTATTCCAATCTGAAATCTGTGCTCAGTATGTGCATAGCTGCAATGAAATTCGTCATTTGCTTAGCCTTTGCTATGTTAAATTTGGTAATGGGCGTAATCCCTTTATAAATACGTATGAAACGGGTAAAGAAATGATATGAATTTTTTTTTATATAACCAATAACTTATAATATTCAAGGCAAGTATTATTTATCGAAGCCATTTAAGACTTTGCTAGGTGTTGCTGTTAATCGGATTACTTATAAAAAAAAAAAGAAGCTAATCAAGGCAAGAAATATGCAGATTTTCGTTCAATACGATTAGAATGTTTTTAAGCAATTTTCGATGTTGAACAAACATACATTTCCCCGTATCTTTATTAAGGGTTCTTAGACAATCATTTTACAATGCTTGCGATTTGAAGGAATAATTAATTGCATTAAATGTAATTTAAAAAATTTCTTCTTCTCTTTTCTTTTACTAAAAAAAAAAAAAAAAAAATAGAAAAACAAAATAATTTAGGTCATAATTCAATTATAGATGTAATTGGTTTAAGGTTAACGAAATTTGCATATCAATATTATCGTCATAGTAAAATGTCAGTAAAAATGTTTATGCATATGTAGATATGTAAACATATGTCTATGTATGATGATGACGATAATGTTTAAAATAAAAATTTACGAAAGACAAATCTGTAAAATGCTTTAATTAAAAAAAAGAAAAAAAAAAAAATTACATTTAAGCAAAGTCGACTACTCAATACCCTGCAGTATTACGCTTCAATTTTGTCAAAAAATATATACATAAAATTATAACTTATTGCTAAGAAGGATTCTCTTTGACGAGAAGCTTTATATTCGAAAAAGTTATTTAGTCAGACAAATCATTAGTTTTGTATTAGAAAGTAAATCTTGTTGTTGTGCAAAGATTTTATTTTGTAAGAATAGCTACATGGTAGGATATTTGTCTTAGGGGCAGGTATTATGCTCAAATATTATTTTTCCCCTATTCTTGTCAAAGTATATTAAAAAATATATGGAATGTGATCGTAACATTGTTGTAATACAATCCATTTTCAATACGAGTCGTCCTTGGAACAATACATGTCAAATGACAAAAACAAGCAAACAAATTTTATGAAAACATTTCCTATAAATTGAATAGAAGAACACATGGACAGACGTCTAAAGGACTAACGGGCTTAACGGGCTGATGGACAGACAAGCTTAAAATGGT